AAGGGACAGTATGTAGCTCGTGGGATAAAACGGAATCAGCTGTGTGCAACTGTGTGCAAAGTGCCTTAATTTCTGAACTCTCTCTTTTTACCCCCACAACCATTTGCCCCCCTCAGTCTTTTTTATTTTTCAAGTGCAGAAATTAAATCTCCTTCCTGAATCCCATCTACTCTCTTTGTTCTACTTCTTCTTTTAGTAACTTCTTGTCAATGTCCACTGATTTCATTTTGTTTAGTCTTTAGTTCATTACCTGTCTCTATTACAAATACGTGCAAAATTATCCCATACATGTCTTCTTCCTTTGAATTTACTTGACTTTGCATAATCCTCTTGTTCTGTCCGTTTTTCTGTGAATCACATAATTTTTAACTTTTGGTTTGTTCATTTTGTTTGGGGGCCACACTTGGTAGTTCTCAGGGCTTACTCCTCACTCTGCTTGGGATCACTTTTTGCTGTTTCAGGGGGCCAGGGATTGAACCTGAGTTATGCAAGGCCAGTGCCCTACCAGCTTCACTATGACTCTAGTCCCGGATCCTGAAATATTTTGTGATGTAGAGTGACTAGCTCTGAGAAGCATTGGTTTTAAGCACATCTATGACTAGATTTTACCTCAAGCTTTATTTTATTGAGGGTTCACACCTGTGTTAAATATCTGAGACTTTGAAAACTCCCTTGATCAGGAGATCTGCTTTATTTTGTCAAAGTAAAGTCTTCTTAAATAGAACAGCTTCTCCTATCTTTCTTTCCTATCTTTCCTTTGTGTTCTCTCTGGTGTCTCTGCAATATCCTTTAGTCTACTTTTTGTTTCATGGAGTATGATTTTTAATGTACAGTAGCCTTAATTTGTACTTGAAAAGTGAGTTTTTGCTTTTTCTTTTTTTTAGTTATTTTTAGTGTTTTAATAATATAAAGTTGTATAGTAAAAAATGAATATTAGTGGTTCTGAGCAAATGAATATTAGAGGTTCAGTGCAGTGGGTTGGGCACTTGGGCACAGCAAACCTGGTTCAATCCCTGGTACCTAATACGATCCCCTATCCTTGAGCATAGCCAGGTGCCATCTTTCCCTCCTGTCCCACCCAATAGAACAAACTGATGTTCAATAAAACCAGGATCCCGCGAAATAGTATAAGCCATTTGCCTTATTGCCTACACTGGTTCCATCTCTACTACCACATGTGCCTCTTGAGCACTTCCTAGTAAAAATTCTAAACACAGATCCCGGAGTAAGCCCTGTTGACTGGCAGGTGTGAACCAAGCTCCCCTTCCTTGTGCCCCTAGCCCCCATTCCTCCCATGGAGAGTAAAACCAAACAGATGAATGAAATAGTAGACAGATTTTCTCATATTTAAATGAACAGTTTACAACAGTGGAGCCAAAAGCCTAGAATGGAGAAAGGAAAGTCTTTGAAAATTGTTTCACCATATGCAAGAACAAAATTAGACTGCTGTCTTACACGACACATCAAAATAATCTCAGATGGAATCAAGACTTAGACATTAGACCTTAGACCACAAAGTCTGTACTAGAAATTTTGGGTAAGCACTCCAGAATAACTCTCTAGTGTTATATTCAGTGATTTTCCTACATTGTCAAGGAAAACAACCAAACTGAATAATATTATATATATTATACATAAACAAACACTGTCCTTCCATTGTTCATCGATTTGCTTGAGCGGGCCCAGTAACGTCTCCATTTTGAGACTTGTCGTTACTGTGTTTGGCATCTTGAGTACGTCATGGGTAGCTTGCCAGGCTTTGCTGTGCGGGCGAGATACTCTCAGTAGCTTGCTGGGCTCTCCGAGAGGGGCGGAGGAATCAAACCCTGCGTGACCTGGCTGTTTCCGCGCAAGACAAATGCACTACCGTTGTGCTATTGCTCCAGCATATCACAATTATATTATAATTATATGATACAATTATATAATAATATAATAATAACTTCAAAGTTGCTACACTGCATAGGAGCCAGTCCCTAAAACAAAAGGACATCCTACTGGGTTGGCGGAAATATTTCCTCACCATGCTGTTCAAAAGAGCAAGATATAGAAAGCAGGCACAAAACATCAAAAATACAAGCTCCCCATCCCATCAAGGAACGTATATAAAATAAAAACACTTCTATAAGACGATACATACAGATGGCCAATAATCACATGAAGAATGCAAATCAAAATGAAAAAGAAGATCACAAAGGCAGGAACAAGTTTTTTGCCGAGGCATGAAAGAAAGTTACTCCCATTCACTGGCTTGGGAATGCAAACTGGTTCAGTCTCTTTGGAGAAAACAGTACAGACATTATGCAGACAATTAAAAATAGACCTCTGTGATCTTGTAATTCCACTCCTAGGTTTCCATTACAGCCATACACTATTTAACAAGATAAATTCATGGCTATATTTATTACAGCTGTTTCCAAAAATTAAAATCTGGGCACAATTCAAGTACATATGGACAAAAGAAAAAGTATGGGGCCAGAGAGTTATTACAGCAGATATGGTGCTTGCCTAGCTCTTGACCTGGGTTCAGTCCCTAGCTACACATTCCGCCCCCACCTCAGCCCTCTCCATCTCCCCAGCTCCCCCCCAGCTCAGAGGCAGGAGTCAGCCCTGAGCTTTTTGTTTGAGGTGTGTCTCAATACTAGACAGTGGATAAGACCTGGATAATACTAGACAGTGTTATGTTCAGCAAAATAAGTCAGAAGGAACAATTATCAGATGGTCTACAAATAAAAGAAGCAACGGAATTTACAGCCGACTGGTTGACTCTGTAACAGAATGGTGGTAACCAAGGGTTGGGGAGACTGCATGGGTGAAAGGCCCCCAGGGTTTTGGTGGTGGTACTCTGATCCTGTGCCCCTAAAACGTAGGGACATTTACACACTTTGTAATCCAGTTTTACCCCAGTAGGCGAACGGTTTCAATAAAAATAAGCTGACCAGTGTATTGCACCTAATCCAGAGCTGCTTCCCTGTTCTGATCATTCAACTTATGTTAAGAAAGGAGCTGGGGGAGATGACTGGGTAGGAGGTCTTTCTCCAGGCGTCTTCCTCCTGGGAAATAAAAATAAGTTAGAAAGTATGTTGTGATGCCAGAATCCATTTATTTAATTTGACCCTCTAGGTCTTCTTGGCTAATTATGAAGTTTTCTTAGAGGGAGAGAGTCGGAGTTGGCGCCACACCCAGTGGTGCCTGGTTTTGCAGTCAGGGATCACTCCTGCCAGTGCTCAGGGAACCATGAGGGGTGATGGGGATCAAACCAAGGTTATTGTGGTACAAGGCAAGTGCTCTACCCACTTTTCAATCACTCCGACCCCTGATACTATGTTTGATTTCACACTTGTCTTGCAGTGTGAGGCACTGAGTTCAGTTTTGGTCACCTTAGCTACCCCCCTCTACTCTCAATTTTTTTAAGTTTTTTCCCCCTTCCTGTTGTGTTGTCATTGCCGAGCAAGTTTGTATACATTTAGGTTCTAAACCACAAGAATGTGACATATGTTTAGATTGTGAAATGTCGCTACAAAAAATATAGGAATAACAGTTTATCCATGTAATAGGTTAAGATATTTATTACTAATTTTGTACCTTTGAGTTCTTATCTTTTGCCAAAATTGCTTACGATAATTTTGCTATTAAAAGTTGGTTGAAGGAAGTATTGTTCTGATCTGAGAATCCGAACGTTAGAAATTCAGTGTTCGGTCAGGTACTTTCCCACCATGTTTTAATACTCAAACATTTGTTCTTTTTTGTTTGGTTGGTTTTTGAGTCACATCTATCTGTACTTAACCATCCTGGGCTTGGCTTGGGGGGATACCATATGAGGTGCTCTCACCCTATTTTTAAAGTGTTGCTTACTCCAAACCCTGCTTGCATTAACATAGATATCATGCATAGAGGTAGTGCTTTAGATCTTTAGATCCTTCAGTTGTGTGTAGCCTCTCAATAGTAGACACGAGACATCAATAACTTTCTTGAGGATAAATATTGAGCAGGTTTAAAAATACAACCTAACATCTTGGCAGCAGGGAGACAACACATGGCTCGGGGTATGCATATCCTCGGAATTGCTCTCCAGAACTGCGTGGTTGTCTCAGGATCACTGGGTTGGTCCAGAAGGGCTGTGGCATCTCCACGATGCTCTGGTATGGTCCCTAGCACTTCAGGGTCCTGTGGCACCTATCTTCAGGACCTCCGTTGCAGTGGATTAGCTCAGTATTGGAGGAGGGGGGAGTCGAGGCTAAAGGGGGCAGGCTCCCTGAACACTGCTTGTCAGCAAAAACCTACTCTCCAGTAGAACTTGCATTAAAAAGTAGTAGGCATTAAGAAATCAAAGTCACAAAGATTGTTTTAGGAAAATTTCAAATTGTGTGACCTTTTCTGTACATTTTGAGGGAAAGGTGTATTAGCATACCTGTGTAGCCTAATTGTTTGATTAAACATGAGAGAATCAGGGCCGAGGCCGGGAGAGAGATAGAGGAAGAGAGGGAAAGTGTGGGGGACGTGTGGGGAAGGCGGTGGGGGCTGGGGAAACTGGGGGCATTGGTGGTAGGAAATGTTCACTGGTGAAGAGACAGGTATTGGAACTTTGGCTCATTGAGTTCTTAAACTCGAACAAACAAAAAGCTTAGGGCGAGAGAAATAGGAATTTGGGTGCTTGCCTTGCTGATGCCTGTTGTGCTCTGCCCGGTCTGCTAAGCACCCAACACAAACCAAAAATTTTAAAAGAAGGCATGGGCGTTTGGAGTGGGGGGAGGTTATAGGTTAGCACCCTTCTGTGCTAGCCGGGTGCAGGGGTGCCAGCATTCACACCCAGGTTGGCCACATGGAAAGCAAGTGCCCTACCTGTTGTGTTTTCTCTCTCTAGACCTACTGGATCCTCTTTTTTTAAACAAAGAAGTTTTTCCAGGGAAAAATGTTTTATTTGAGAGGAAGGATGAGATGATTTTCTTTCAACATTTAAAATATATATTATATATGTATTTTTTGTTCTTTTATGACAGGTGGATACCATCCAGTGAAAATTGGAGACCTGTTTAATGGCCGGTATCATGTTATCAGGAAGCTCGGATGGGGACACTTCTCGACTGTCTGGCTGTGCTGGGATATGCAGTAAGTTTTCTTTGTGTCTTGTGCTCTGGGGTCTCTGGGTCTGTCTCAGGGGTTTGTCCTTTATAGCAGCAACAACTGAGGTCACCCCTAATTCATGTGGAGTGCTTGGACGAAGCCCTCTAGACATTTCCCCCCAGCTGTTTAAAGTTATTTCCCCCTTACTATAAACCAGTAATAACTTTCTCCTGTCACATCTGAGGTTTTCATTGACATCTTGTTATTTTCATTTATATTTAAAACATATATTCAGAGAGAGAGAGAAAGGGAGGGAAGGAGAGAGGGGGGACGGGCAGGCAAGCATGCCAGCTGATAGGGCACTTGCCTTGCATCCAGCTGACTTGGGTCCTATTCCTGTCATCCATCCAATACAATCAACCAAGCACTGCCAGACGTGATCCCTGCATTAGCTCCAGAAGTTATCCCTGAGTATTGCTCCGTGTTGCCCCCCCAAAAAGGGGAAAAATTGCTCAGCTATAATTTTTTCCCATTTAGTTATCATTATGTGAATAGTACAGTTTTGTGCATGCCAGCATCAATCACATCTGCTCACCGCCTCCATGTCAGCATCCCTGTACCATTGTCTCAGGCCGTAGGCCCATCCTCTTGGGAAACTCAGGTCCTTAGATTGAGTCTCTGTGTCTGTTGCCATTGACCAGTTGGTATCCCCTTACTAGATGCTTCTTTGTACTCCACATCTGAAGGAAATCTTGCCTATCCTGTCCTTCTGCTTCTGACAGATTTCTCTCAGAATGATGCCCTCTATTTAGTTCCATACATGGAGCAGAGTGCATGATTTCATGTTATTGCTGCCTAATCCATTGACTCAGGGACTGGGGTGTTTAGGCCACACCTGGATGTGCTTGGAGCTTTCTCCTCTTTCTGTGCTCAGGGATAGCTCCTGATAGTGGTGACTTGAACCTTAGTTGGCCACAAAGGAGGCCAGCGCCTTACCTGCTATGACAATCTCTCTGACTCTGTGTTTTTTTTTTTTTTAACTTGTGGCCCATAGTATGAAACTGCATTGCTTCTCAGTCTGCATATACATTGAGTCTGTGTGTATGGTCTAGAACATCAGTCAAATGACTTTACCCTTACATATGATGAGAATAAAAACTTTATTGTTTACTGGTATATATTTTTTTCCTGTTAGAAAAAACAAACACAAATTACAAGAAAAGGTATTTGTACCTTTTTGGCTCTATGGTTGGAAAATTATTAAATTATGCATATTACTGTCTATTATTCCTTTCCTTTGTCATCTTTATTGTTGCTCGGCTGGTAGTTGGATGCCCCTGGGCTCAAATGCTCAGACGTTTCTTTGTGTAAGTGTGGCAGGATGTTCTGGCTTGGTGTTGTGCCATGTGGAAGAGTATCATTTTAAATGAAAGCTTCTCAAAATTTTCTCTTTCTTCGGAAGCGTAATAATCAACTCTACTTATTATATCAAACATTTTTTCTTTCCCAAGGGGGAAACGATTTGTTGCAATGAAAGTTGTAAAAAGTGCCCAACATTATACAGAGACAGCCTTGGATGAAATAAAATTGCTCAAATGTGTAAGTACTAAAATGTGTAAGTACTACAAATACTGTGAATGATAAAAGAGGAAATTGTTGATAAATTCTTCCACAAAAATTTTCTCAGCTGGCTTTTACTAAAGTAAAATTGAATTTATGTTTTATCAATTCTCATACTGAATCTTCTTTGGAAACATCACTATTTTTGTATTTCAGTGCATGTATTGCTGGGGGCACTCAGGGGCTACTCCTGGCTATGTACTCCTGTGGGTGCCATGCAGCAATACACTTGACTTGGGCCTCCGCATGTAAAATGCATGGAAACATCATTTGGTAAAACAGTTTTGGTTACTGTGACTTTCTGTTAAACAGTTCTCTTCTTGCTTCCTATTCCCTTGCCCACAGGTTCGAGAAAGTGATCCCAATGACCCAAATAAAGACATGGTTGTTCAGCTAATTGATGACTTCAAGATTTCAGGCATGAATGGAATTCGTATCCTTATTCACAGTTCTTTTACTTCCTGACAGTGGAATTATATTACAGTTTATTATTTAAATTTAAAGTCTAGAAATATTTCAAGCCCGTACAAACTTTTATTTCCTGCTTCATAGTTCACTTCATCATGCTGGTTACTATTATTCCATAAAATACCAAGCCATTTGCCTGGAGGGCTCTGTCAGGGCCTTTGCTGTTTTTCTTTTGCGTTGTAATAATTTTAAGTATTTTTAGAATTTTAGTATTTTTAGATTTTGTCATAGGATGTTTTTTGTCTATTTTTATCGATGTGAGTTATAAATGTATAGACTTTGCTTGCAACTTGAAAGAAAATTAGTGGACAGTGAATACTACTGTCTGCTAAAGTATCACAAGAGGTTGATATATTCATTAACTGTTCTACCAATGTCAAAGCAATAAAGTTTACTTCATCCTTCAAAGGTTCCTATTTCTGCAGGGAGAATATTGAAGTATTTTGGCTCAATGCACTTCGCTTACACATTGAATATAAATACTTAAAAAACTTGGCAAAAGTTATTCTTCTGTTTGAAAATCTGACACAGGTTAGGGCTTAGTGGATGAGACTTCCCTTTTTCTTCAAAGTATTTATCTTGTAAATTTTCTAATTCTTAAAATAAAGAATGTAATACAGTGATTTCTTATAGGTCCATTTTCCATATTCAACAATCCTCAAGTATGATTGCTTCTTTCTTACTGAATTATTTCTAAAAAAAATTCCTAAAACTTATGTTTTTCACCAGTGTAAATGTTATTGACAGTAGTTTCCTCTTCACACATAAACCTATGGTAAAGTTTAAATTTATAAGTTAAGCATAATAAAAACAATAATATAACGGGCAATTTTGATAGTGTACAGTAATGCATAATTGACAGTAATGCATAATTGTGCTCTGTTCACCTAAATGACATTACTTAAATGACAAACTAAAGAGTTAAATTTGTGATGGAGTTAAAGCTCTAACGTTTAAAATTGTGACTTAACTCTTCTCAGAGCATTGATATACCTGTATTTTGTTTAACAAGTAAAAATAGCTCTCCTGCCCCTTTTTCTTTTTTTGGCAGTGCTGGGATTTAACCCAGGTTTCCAACATGATGGCCAAATGCTGTTCTGTTGCAGCACATTCGGCCTGTGGAATGTTTATTTTACAAACATCATTTATCTCTCTTTCTGGGGGTTTCTTGAAAGAAACCCTCTCCTATCAACAGTTCTAGGAGTGACCTTGCAGAAGTGAAGGCAAGTGAGTTGGCTGATGTTCCTGCTTTGAAAGAGAAACATTGCACAAGTGTATATTTCCATTTATGTATTTATGTTTTGGGGTCATAGCCTGCGGTGTTCAGGGTTCACTCCACAGTGGCTCTGTGCTCACTCCCAGCAGTGCCCAGTGGCCATGCGTGATGAATTGGTTCGAACCCTGGCAGACTGTATTCAAGGCAAGTGCCCTATCTTCTCTCCAGCCGTGCTCCCTTTCCCTATATTTTAAATTTTTATTGGTGGGAAGAGGGAGTGGCACATCCGGTTATGATCATGCCTTATTACTCTGCATTCAGGGATTTTTCTTGTCATGGTCCGGGGACCATATGGGATGCCGGGCTTGAAACTGGATTGGCATGTGCATGCAAGTGCCCTACCCTGTGTTACCTTTCCACTCCTTTTCCAAAGTACTTTCCACATCATTATTGGGACGGTGTGGTATTAGTAGATATCAAATAACTCAAATTAACTATCTTTAATAGCTCCTCTATAAGCCTTTAAACCAGTATACTTTCAAAAGGCTGCAGACCATTTAATTTTTTTGTCTGACAGTAATTATTATATAATTGACTAGACTTGTTGAGTATTTGTGGTTGACTAAAATTCCAATTAAGAACAGTAAAGGAAAAAAAAATTAGACACTCCAGACTTCTGTTAGATTTGGACTTAATGCCATATGTTAAATTGTGATTATTTAGTCCTCCACTTCAAAAACAACAACAATAAAAAATTATTGTTTTGATGGCAGAGTTTGGGCCACAACTCAGGAGAGACCCCTCGTGGTGTTTGGGGCAAATATATGATGCCAGGATTTTAACAGGGTCAGCAGAAGGCAAGGGAAGGGCCTTCCCTCCTGTGCCACTCTCCTGCCCTGCAGGATTGTCATTGTACAGTTGTAAGGGTTACGTGTTTATCTCTCACGTGGGCAACCTCATTCCAATCCTCAGCACCACCTGCACTACACAGTTCCCCCCAGCAGCGTCAAGAATAACCCCCAATATTGCCAGGTGTCACTCAGCATAACCACCCCCTCCATCCCCTCCCACCCCGTGAGCCTCCTCTCCCCATTTAGGCTCCCTAAAGTATTAATTTAGCATACACTGAAAATTGTGATTGATGGGGAAAAAATTGAGTCTTGTTTCAGAGCTCTATTTTGCAAAGTTTTATTTTACTCCTGGCATAGAAATTTATGCAAGCAAGCAGATCCCTTATGGCAGAGTTCTTTATCTCCCCCCCGCCCCCCCCCCCCCCAATCAGTTTCTATGAGGTTTGAACCATGCTCAGTTTTATTACTAGTGATCACTAAGGGGTATGCTCAGTAGAGTATAATGTGTTTGTGACATTAACCATAGTTGTGCTACCATTAGAGTATTGAATGAAGGAGTTATCTTTTTGGAGACACTCAAGGAGTACTCAGGCTGTGAGGGCTCCTATGATCAGTGCTCTTATTGGCATTGTGGCGTACTTGGGACAGGAATTTGGGGACGCTAGCAGGGCTATAGCCAGCAGTGTTGAGGGGCCAGGGGATGGGACCATGTGCCAAGCAGAGAACTTCCAAATGCAAAGGATGCTCCTTTCCTATTGAGCCCTATCTCAGTTCTCCAGTTCTCCACATCTTGCAAACAGTAAGGTTGTGCTGTCCTTGTTTGTATAGAACTGTATTTTTGTGATTTAATATATATGATTAGGTAACTCTATTCTGAAAGTGATTTTAGTTGCATATTATTATGTAACATGTTACAAATAATCATACATGTTAGATCTTTTGGGGTGAGAAACAGCAAATGATCACTTCGGTATTCTTGATAGTATTGATGTTGTATTTTATAGAAATTGGACGTTTTGCCTAGTGCTGTAATGACGTTGCTTTTTATTTTCTTTTTTCTGTAACTCATTTCAGATAATATGTCTGTCATTGATCCTTAACCATTTCCCAGATGTCTGCATGGTCTTTGAGGTGCTTGGCCACCATCTCCTCAAGTGGATCATTAAGTCCAACTACCAGGGACTCCCAGTGCGTTGTGTGAAGAGTATCATCAGACAGGTGAGGCTCATGGGACAACCCCCACTCCACCAGTGTCTCTCTGGTAACCATTCATCCCACATTCCTGTTAAATATTTATTTTTTTAAACACAAACACCTTTGTGTATATGTGTGTGTGTATACATTTTTGTTTTACATATACATAAAAATAATGTGCATAACTTTTCTTCATAAAGTGGATTTTGTGGGAAGCATAGTACAGTGGTTAATCCACTTGCCTTGAATGTAGTTGACCCCTGCACACATCTGGTCCCCTTGGCGTGCTTGGGAGCAATCCTGAGAACAGAGCTGGAAATAAACTCCAAGTATTTCTTAGTGTGACAACACTCCTCCCATCAGTATGCCTTTGATGATACGAATGTTTTGTCTGGTACTATGCACAATATATAATTTTTAGTCATTTCTTCTGACTGTTGGGCTTTTTAAAAGATAAAGGTTCTAGAATGGATTGTTTTATTTGAAATCATTATTGTAAAGTTTTCTCTTTAGTTCTTCAGTACATACATTGGAAGATCTTCTTGCAGATAGAAATGTGCACCAGACTCAGCTTCCTTGCTGAATATAGCAGCCTGTATTCAGCTATAATTTAAACACATCATCAATTAAGGCTTATTCTGGATTTCTTTTCCTCACCAAATGGATAGCTACCATGCATGATTCTGCATGTGAGTTTTGCTTTCAAAGATGTTGCTTGTTAGCTTGAGAAGAGGACTAGGTGATTTCACACAGACCTACTTGGCATCACATCAGCCTGGATCAAGGATTCTTCAGTAGGAAAAGGATCAGGGAATATTTGTAATTGAGGGATTGTGAAATCAGATGTCAGGAAGTGGTTCAGCAGTAGCAAATATGGGTATGTTTATGTGTGAGGCTTTGCATTTTTGTGCAGAGATACACATCTCAAAAAAAAAAGCCTAATCACGGGGAAATATGAATATGAGGGATGAGTGTCTTTAGCAGGGCCTAAGGTACTTTCTTTGAATGCATCCAGCTCCAATTCAGTCCCTGAGATTTGGTCCCTCAGTAATTCCACTAGTGATCACTGAGTACAGAGGCAGAAGTATGTTCTGAGCACTGCTGGTATTAGTGGCCTCACAGGAAATACGGGTATCTTCAGAAGAATATAACCATTATAGATAGTATTTGTATCATTGCTTATTTGAATAAGATTTTGGTTTTTATGAGCAGCTTTTTAAATCAATAAATTTTTAACTTAAATTTGTTTAGTAAAATGTAGAATGTAGTCTACGTTACTGTTGTACTAGTATTTGAGTTGCTTTGTTTAGTTGGTTTATGTTTTTATCTTTTTTAATTCTGTTTAAAGTTTCCTGACATATGTCCATTTTGGCATGTGAATCATTTTACGCTGTGGTCAGACAGGGTCTGTTTAGACTACCTTAACTGTCTAACAATGCTCAGTGTTAGGTATTACTCAGAGATGTTATTTTTTTTTTTTTTTTTTGGGCTTACCTGGCAGAGTGCAGGGCATACTTTTGGTTTTGAGTTCAGGGATCACATCTGGCAGGGTTCAGGGGATCACATGTGGTACTGGGCTCAAACCCCAGGTTGGGGGCATACAAGGCAAGTACTTTAACAATACAGTAAGTGCTGTACTATTTTTCTGGTCCTTGAGTTGCTGTTTTCGCTAGAAGTAATCTTCTCTGAGATTCCTATTTCTGTAGTAGGATAGGACAACTCATTACAGAGCATCCTCAGGTCTTTGCCCTGTGAGTCCTTCTCTTCTCTCCACTTGAGTTCCCCTCCTGCCTCCTCCCAGCTTATCCCCCTCCCCTGTCTTCGGCTCATGATGTATACTTTCATTTTATCTCTGGCTTTGCAATCACCATCCATGAAAAGCTGCTGTCAAATCTGCTGGCTTTCCTCCCAGTATATTTGGTGTTAATTTGATTTTGGCTGGTTATTTTGTTTTGTTATGTATATGCTCCCTTTTAGATTTTAGATGATCATATTTGTATTAGTATCCTAAGTGGGTTAGGGATATGACTTAGTGTTAGGGCACCCGTCGTGGTGGGGGGGAGGGGTCTGGCATCATTCCCTCCCAGCACCCTCATCCCCGTCTCCCAAAAGTAAGTCATTAGTTGCTTGGATAATATCTAGTTGGGAAAAAACTATTCTTTCTTTAATGAAGAAGAATATATGTGGTTTGCGTACTAAGTTGTGGAAAATGAATGTGCATGTGAGTACATATACGTCCTTATTAGAGGCAGTACTAAGCTCTGAAAACTTTATATTGCTAAATCTCTGAAGAAAACTATAGTTCTATGAATATTAGGGGAAAAAAGAGAAAACAGGCATGTAGTTATAGTTTCGGAGGTAACAGTTCTGGGAGTATTCAACACAGGCCTTGTCATTCCCTTGAAGGCAAAACCAGTATTGTACACCATTTCTGCCCCTGGCCCCCTCACTGACTGGCCTGTGTCATCTCAGCTCAGGCAAGGCATTGTTGGCCAGATGAGCTGGTGAACTGCAGGGCTGATCATCTATGACCGAATGGGAAAATAAAATCTAGCTTTCCTGAGCACATGAAGGAGACTAGCCATTGGAGCGTCTCCCAGGCCTCCCTCTATATTTTGGAAGATGTTAAAGGATGCTGATACTTACTTGGGTTGTGTATTTTTTATTTTTAATATTTGATTCCTCCTGTTGTATTCAGGGGACCATTTGTGGTGTGGGGGTTTGAACTGTTGTCAGCCTCATGCATGGTCTGTGCTTTAACCCCACCAGTATATTCCCTTCGGGTCCTTAGTTCTTGGCCTTAACTCGAACCCTTATTCTGTGCTACTCATCAGGATCGTAGCTTGTTGAGACTGTTGCTTCCTTTGTAAAATCAGAATAATACACACTTTGTGACTTTTATTGTGAAGATTGAGAGTTAATCATTGCTAGGCGCCAGAAACAGCTCAAGTGGAAGAGTTTAGGCCTAACTTGGGCACTGTCCTACTTTATGCCCTCGAAATTGCCTCCAAGCCCCTGCCACCCACTGGGTGTGGGTCTCACAGCTTTTTATTTAAAATTTTTTAAAAAATTTTTTTACACTGTTGACCCCTGCAATAGCACAGTGGGTAGGCGTTTGTGTTGCATGCGCCCCACCCGGGCAACCCAGGTTTGATTCCTCCGCTCCTCTCGGAGATCTTGGCAAGCTCCGGAGAGGATCCCGCCTGCATGGCAGAGCCTGGCAAGATACCTGTGGTGTATTTGATATGCCAAAAACAGTAACAACAGGTCTCACAATGGAGACGTTACAGGGCTCGCTCGAGCAAATCGATGATCGACGGGAAGACAGTGACAGTGACAGTTGACCCCTGATAACAGCATCCCCCAATGTTGCCTGCACAGAGTGGGCCAAACACTAAGACATTGGAGTTCCAATTCTGTCACTTTTTCATGTAGTATTTGATCCCGACATTTTTTCGATAGGTTATCTTTCCTCTCCTTTTAATTTATTTTTAAAATTTAATTTGTGCCACATCCAGCAGTGCTCAGGGGCCTGCTCCTGACTCTGCACTCAGAAATCACTCCTGTTGGTGGTGCCCTGGGGGTGGTATGGGATGCTAGGGATCGAGCAAAAGTCTGCAGCTGTCTGCAAGGCAGTTGACTTTACCCACTGTACTCACTCCCCAGCTCCAGTTAATCTCTGAAGAAAGATCTTTTGTTGATCTTACACATGACTGAATCATGGGTTGTGTAATAGGTTGCTATATTTTATTATCCATCCCTTAGATTAAGTTTTAGCAGTCATACAGCCCTGGTGACCTTGACTGTTGGTGCTGGAGTTTGAAAACTCCCTCCACCAAACACGAGTCTCCCCTCCCCTCAGAGTGAAGTCTTGTCTGTTACTGCCCCCCAGCTGTTTTGATGCCAAGGTGAATTTTATGTCTAGTTATTTCTAAAACTGATAGGAAAGGTATTGGCAGTACTTAATATTTGTGGGGCATAACAGATGTGTTAGAGGTGATGGCTTCTTTTTTTTTGGGGGGGGGGCTCACACGCAGTTATGCTCAGGGGTTATTCCTGGCTCCTGCACTCGGGAATTGCTCCTGGTGGTGCTTGGGGGACCATAAGGGATGCTGGGACTTGAACCCAGGTTGGCCATGTGCAAGGCAAACACCATACTTGCTGTGCTATTGCTCCAGCCCCTGATGGCTTCTTAAATACCCTTGCTGTCTCAGTTTTTTGGTATTGGGGCACATCTGGCAGTGCACCAGGGTCCCCCCTTGGCGGTAGGCAGGGAATGGGGACTGTATTTGATGACAACAATCAAACCCAGGTTGGCCGTGTGCAGTGTAAGGTTTATTTGAGGAAACTGCTACACACTCTCTCTGGCCCTGTCCTTGCTTTTTTTTTTTTTAATTTTTATTTAGTTTTTTGCTTTTCAAGTCACACCAGTGATGCCCAGGGGTTAGTCCTGCACTCAGGAATTACTCCGGGCCATGCTTGGGGGACCATATGGGATATTGGGAATCCAACCCTGGTAGGCAGCTTGCAAGGCAAACGCCCTACCCCCCGTGCTATCGCTCGAGCCCCTCCTTGCTATTTTTAAAGGGGCTTCAACTTTCATGTGTAATTGAAAGAGTAGGTGACATTTTAATCGTGAAAGCTTTATGATTTAAGTCTTTGCCCTTTACAAATCTCCCTGCAAAAATGTTGCTGCTTGCATTTTCTGAAGTTTGTTAACAGGGGTGCTTATCAGAGCTGCCTTTGCTGCAATAATCTAGTGCCAGAAATTTTCCATTTTTGTTTCATTTTTATTTTTGGGGGGGGGGGGGAGACCATGTCTGATGGTGCTTAAGAATTACTCTTGGCTTCAGGCTTGGGATCTCTGTGTCAGGGCTCCGGGATTGTAGCTGTCCCTGGGGACTGAAACTGTATTGGCTTCATGCAAGGCATTTACCTTCCCTTCATTATTCTCTCTCTGCCCCTGCCCTAACACTTGAAATCAGAATGAACTTTTTCTACTACATTTGTGATACTCTTGTAGGGCCCCACTTTGTCGATGTTGTTTTTAAGGTTCTATTTTGGTTCTATTTGGGTTCTAGCTGGGCTGCTTAGGGGACACCCCGGGCTGTGCTCACAGGGGCTGTGGGTACCACGAGTGGTACCTGTGTCCCATCTATTTCAACTCTTTGAGCTGTCTCCCCGGCCCTGTCCCCTCACCCTATTCTTCGTTTTGCTCTGTCCTGGCTATAGTACACCACAATTTTATTAGATCCGGGGTTTCACTGTCTCTTCATTTTACATGGCATGTTACACAGAAGATAAAAATCTTCCTCAGGATGCTACCAGAGTGATAGAACAGTAGGGAGGGTGTTTGACTTGCACCTGACTCACCCAGTATCCCATTTGGTTCCCCAAAAACTGCCATTGATTCCTGAATGCAGAGCCAGGAGTAAGCTTGGAGCATTGCCAGGTGTGGTCCTGAAACCAAAACCAAAAAGAATCCTGTCCAGGAGTTGGGCTATACCTCAGGTGTAGGGCGCGTTATCAAGTGCTTGACTCTCCCTTCCCTGCATGCTGCCGGGTCCGAGCAGCGCCATGTCACTGGTCTAAAGCACCAGGCGTGGCCCCCGACATCCCGGATCTTATTTCAAAAAAGAAAATTTGCTTCAATCCCACAGTTACTCTGAACGGAACCAAGGTTTGAAATCAGGTGATGTAACTCCAGAATCCACGCTCACGTTTTGCAAGTATGAAATTGTCTATGATGAAATGTTTTGGGGCATTTTTCTGAACATTTCTTTGTGAAATGTATGCAGTCATTTTCCCCCGTGACAAATGGCTTTCTTTATAAAAGTAGAGCTGGCGATCATACGCTTCTAAAGTCCAGGACCACAGAGGTTGTTCAGCTGGCTGCAGCATATGCTTTGCATGCAGGAGGCCGGAGCTGGATCCCGAGTTTGTTCTTTACCCTTGAACACCACCAAGAGTGACCTCAGAGCATAGAGCCTGGAGTAGCCCGTGAGCACTGCTCGGATTGAGGGTCCCCCCTCCCCAAAGAAAAATAAAATGTAAAAGCATTGGATTTTATATAGTAGAAATGTTGGCTTTGGGGATAGTGCCTGTTACTCAGGGTTTTTACTCCTGGCTCTGTGTGCCCAAGGGTCACTTTCTGGCAGTGCTTGGTATGTGTGCCCGGGCTTAAAGTGGGGTCAAACTCAGGCAGAGTAAGCACCTTAGCCCTACCTGTGCTGTCAGCCCTGAGGAGAAACTTTCAGTTTTGCTGCTCTATGCAAGCTAATGGGACCTTATTAACCTGTGCCCTGTGCTGGGGGGAGAGGTGATAGCTCAGTGGCCTGAGTGCATGTTTGGCCTGTGAGGCTCCCAGGCTCCGTCCCAGGTATCACATGGTCCCCCTGAGCATAAAGTTGGGAGTTTTCCTCAAGTACTGCAGAGAGTCATGCCCTCCTTGTTCCCTATCTCCCCCAAACAAAGCAACAGAAACCCAAAAAATTGCCAATGTTTTTTGCAAAGCCTCCTGTGGGCTCTTGGACCTTCTGGGTTTCCTGAGGAACTCTGGTCCTATCCAGGCCAATCCTGGTACCATGGAATCATTTTCTCTACACTTAGTACTTAGTTCCTGTTGGCATTATTTTACTTATTTCATTATCAGTGAGCCATTATTATTCCATTTTAGACTAGGAAGAGTAATTTTAAATTGGTAAACATTTTTACATTCTTAAATTTGTTCAATGTGGTGTCCATATGGTCCTGTGATCACTTGGCATATCTTGCCAAGCGTTGGCGCCTCTCCTCCAGCATGGTGCGTGGGCTTCCTCAGCCCGCCCTCGGGGCAGTTGCCTTGCTTTCTGACTCCAGTTAGAGGTACAGCTGCTTTGAATCTCACCAAGGCCATTTGAATGGGACACCGAAGGAAAGCTGTTTCAGGACAGAGCACAGAAGGCCAGAGCCCCTGAAACCTTTGGGTGTGGGACTGTCATGGTTACCTCCTCTGGTTCTCACTTCTCGATTCAGTTTAAGTGCATGCTTGTCAGAAGACACCTGGAGCATTGGCCTCACCTGTCCTTCTGAGGAAGATAGATGCAGTGGGTGCATTCAGTTGGCTGGAAGTGAGAAGAGTGCCTCTAGAGTTTGACTGCATGTTCTTTTTTTTTTTAAACAAATCTCTGTGAGCTATAGTTATGAAGCTTTCATGTTTCAGTCATACAGTGACCGAAAACGCATCCCTACACCAGTGTACATTTACCACCACCGATGTCCCCAGTTTCCCTCCTGCCATCCCTACCCCACCCCACCTCCTTTTCTTCTTTCTCTCTACTTTGGGGCATTATGGTTTTCAATACAGAGCCTGAGAGGCTATCATGTTTGGTCTTTTATCTACTTTTAGCACCCATTTCCCATCCCGAACGATCCCTCCAACCATCATTGACTTAGTGATCCCTTCTCTATCCCAGCTGCTTTCTCCCCCAGCTCATGAGACAGGCTTCCAGCTATGGAGAAATATTCCTGGCCCTTGTCTCTACTCTCCTGGGGTATTACAGTACATGTCCTTGAAAGAGTCAGTATGTTGGGACAGTGCTCCTGCTTTCCCAACCCCAACCCTGCTCCAACCCCCATTGGCTTCCTGTTGGGTGTCCCTTATTCTACAGGGAGTTTGGCACCCAAGGCAACCCACATGTCCATACTCTGTGATCTTTGTTTCAGAGTGGGGATCGGACCACTGAGGGGTGGGGAAGGGTGAGCTCCTCTTGTGCCCAGTCAAAATATCCTGGGGTGTGAAGAGATAGTGTCGCTGGTGAGGCTCTTCTTGCCTTGTGTGCATCCACCTCAGAATTCACCCTAGGACCCAGCGCATCAGCATCAACAGTTGGAAAGATTTCCCTTTGCAGTTACCGATGTTAGGGAGACTCTTGATTGTTGAGCCACTGCTGAGGGAAGTCTTTGCATTCACTCTCAGTTTATTCCTTCTAGCTGCCAGATTGTGGGATCATTTAAAAATTTCAAGTGAGCTGCGCCAATGCGCTCCAGTGAGGAGCAGGTTTATGATGTTAACACCAGTAATGGGTCTGGTCACAGGCATATACATACAAAGAAACCTCAGTGGTATCTTGATCGGGCAGTTTTTCATTATAGCTGAATTTGAGGTCAGAGAAAGGAAGCCACAGCCAGATAGCTCTAGTTCTGAACTGGCACTGCACTGCTGAGACCTGCAAGCTTGACTTCCCTGGAAGTAACCCAGCCCCTGCCCGGGGAGGGTGTGGTCCGCCCTGGCCTTCTGAGGTTCAACCACTGGCATCTGCAGATTGTGGTAGCAAGAGCTCTCAGCAGCCTCTGCTGCCTCCTGCTGTTGAGGAGAGGGAAGGCCTTTAGGCAGGAGGGCCAGCATTGCACTAATGACAGCAACAGAGGGGGCAGTTCATTAATGCTCCTTTTCACCCTTTTTCAGATCTTGCAAAGGGAAATCTGGTCTTGGTTGTCAGACTTGATTCATTTATAATTTATGTAGTCCCCAGTTATTCTGCATAAATCATAGTTACTCATCATAACCAATTAATAGTTTGCTCATCATCATCGTTTGAGTATGGATTTGTGGGTAATTTATTTCTTTAAGGCTCACTGGGTGAGACCAGAAATAAATATAAATTTTGATAAATAAAACCATTACCTAAATTTTCAAGAAAATATTATTTTTAAAGTCCCAGATTAGCTAATTCATAGTTGTTTAGTTGCTATCAATCCATGTTTTCTCACTTCCGTTCTTCCATTTACTGTGAACACCTTGAGGTGTTCCGGTTTGTTTTTGTTGTTTTTAATCAAGTGTCCTGGACCTTGCTCAGGCTTAACTTAACATTTGAGGCACGTGCGGTGTCTGATCCCATATTGGTGATCCCGTATTGGTGATTAAGGCTTACTCCTGGCTCTGCACTCAGGGATTACTCCCAGTAGAGCTCAGGGGACCATATGGGGTACCAGGGATCAAATCAGGGTCATCCATGTGCAAGGCAATTACTGTACCTGCGTCACCGGTATAGATTGATTCTGTTATTCCCCCTGTTACTTTATAGATTTGGGGAGAGGTTATGCTGAAGACAGCTTCACTTCATTGCTAGTGAATGATTTGAGATCAGCTTGAGTCCCAATGTTGTGTTTCAATGCTATACTGCACTGTCTCTTAATGGTTTCCTGTCCTTTAATGATTCTCGTGGTTTAATTAACCCACTTAATATGTCCCAGTGGTAAAGTCTTTTTCTGTGTTCATTGTCAGATGAACTTGTGCTTTATAAGTTGTGTTTTATAAAGAAATCTAACCCAACCCTAATGCAATAATCAGTGTTTTAAAAATCTGGAACCTTGGGCCAGAAAGCTAGTATAGTTGGTAAGGCATTTATTTTGCGTGTGGCTGACCTGGGTCTGATCCCCAGCACCATTTATAAAGATATGTATTTTGCTTCCCTGAACATAAATGAACATGAGAATGATTCACATTGAAATGGACGGGGATGGGGGGCAGTTTCAGAACTATAGGACAGCGGGTCAGAACTACAGTGCAGTTTGCTTTGTACGCCACTGGCTGGGGTTCTGTCCCTGGCACCCCGTATGGTCCTCTGAGTCCCACCGCAATGAACCCTAAGCTCAGAGCCAGAGCAAGTTCTGAGCATAGCTGGTGTGGCCACCCACCACTGCAGTACTTCCCCCCTCCCTCCTCCCCAGAAAAAAAGAAGAAGAAAAATTGTGGGATAGAACTGGATCCCTCTGGGGCCTGATAGGGAGAGATGTTGACTCAACAATGTCCTTTTGTACCTGTTGTATTTTGTGTCTCTCGATCACTTACCTGTTTTGCAAAATAAATGTTGGATAACAAATTTTTCAATTTTCCGTGACCAGGTCCTTCAGGGGTTAGATTATCTACACAGTAAGTGCAAGATTATTCACACTGACATAAAGCCCGAAAACATCTTGATGTGTGTAGATGACGCATATGTGCGAAGAATGGCGGCTGAGGCCACTGAGTGGCAGAAAGCAGGGGCCCCTCCTCCTTCGGGGTCCGCAGGTGAGGATGCCGAGCCAGGGCCCCCCCTTCCCTATGTGGGTGGCCTTTGACAGTCTGCAGAGTTGTCCTTTGGAGGCATCCAAGTGTATCTCTCCCCAGAGACATTTTTTCTTGAGGAGGAAGATAATGAACTAAGTCAGGAATCAGTGTTTTACTGTTTCTTGACTTCTCACTGTTTAAAAATGAACTTTTTAGCTGCAACTTCATCTGCCTGTGAGCCGTTTTCTTATTTGCAGGTTCTCAGCAGAGGAATATGGTCAGGGAGCTTTCCTGCAATTGAACGAGTCATTAGAATTTTCCTTTCAGCTTCAGGGACTTTTTGTTTTTGTTTGTAGGATGCTCTGTAGTTAGCCAATCTGTATCAGTCTCAGTCTCCACTAGATTTGGAATCAGGTACCACAGGCCTCACAGTGGGTTGGAACAGACACAGTTTTTGTCAAGTAGCTTGTTAAGATGTTTTTAGTTTGGGTTTTTACCGAGTATCACTGTGTGATGATGAAAGCGCTTTTTGCGCCTCTGTCCTCCCTTCACGTTATCAGTGACTCCCATTAGGCCAGTATGAAATCTTTGGGCTCTTGGGAGATACATCACCATCAACGCTTCTCAGCTGTCTCCCTTGGGGTCTTGGTTAGGTCAGGGGACCCCTGCTCAGTCTTGACAAGCCCTGGCCCTCGGATGCAGCATCTAGGTCAGTTTCCACTGTCCTTACCCTATCCCTTTCCTTTCGGGAGTGCACCCCATCAGTGCCTGGGGCTGCACTTGGTGGTGCTGGGGTGGAGGTTGGAGGCATGCTACGCTTGGCTGTATATAGCCTTTCATCGTTTCCCCTGATCCATTAATGTTGTATTTGATTTATTTTAATTGGAGAAGCTTGCCAGATGGTTTTCAGGCATTGATGTATATCTTATAATGTAAAATGTTTGTCTCACTTTTTTCTAATGAGCATATGAGCTCTTATGTATTTTTTTGTCTGCCCACTAGGATTATCTTGGAAATGAATTTATAGTTTATTTTAGTTGAAAAAAGAGAAACACCATTAGTTTGCTATTTAAGAAAACCACCTTAACAGCTTTTGAAGTCAAATTGCCATTAAAAATGGCAGCAATTTATTTTATAGTTATATCATCTATATAAATAGCTGTCTTTTTTTTCCTCTAAACTTTCATTTGATTTATTTTGTTTCTCTTTGTTTTAGTGAGTACTGCTCCACAACAAAAACCTGTAAGTAGTCACGTATACAGATACTCACCTTCATGTCAATGTAAATGTTTATGCTTGTATGATTTTTCTATCATTAAATTCGACTGTTCGAATCTTTCTGTTTCTGTTTACAACAATTTTTTATTTAAGAATTGTTCGGGGGACTGGCTTTAGGTTTTGTGCCTTTCTCTGTGGGCTTCAGATATTCTAATGTATTTAAACTTACAATACAGTTGTTTATAAATGCTGCCTTCTGATAAATGCCTTATTGTTTTTGTCAGTTGAAGTGAATCTTATAATTAGTCTGATGCAAATCTTTCCAGGTTCCCATCTTTATTGTTGGGAGCTGTACTCCTCATTCTTTGATAAACTGAAAGATGGTGGCATCAGTGTTGAATGTGATCATTCCAAGTCACTCCATATTTTTTCTGTTTGATTTCTGGGGTTTTATTTAAACCTCTTGGTCTTTTTTGTACTTTAGCCAGTATGAAAGAATTTTTCTGATTTTGTGGTCTTCTCTTTCAGTACACTTAGTCCAATAAAATGAAATAATGCTGCTTAAAATAAAATTGTATCCTGATAGATCTAAGCCTGACTTAGTTCCAGTAGAAGAATCTTACCATTGGCTGTTTACAGAAATCTTTTATTTCTGTATATCGATATCTCTTCTCGATATATAATCTTAGAGACTTAGAAACAAGGAGCGAGTGTGTGTGAGCTAACATGCGTGGACAAGATCCACCTAAAATGTACCTAAAAGTTTTAAAAGACCTCTATGCATCAGAATGATCCGAAAGACAAATCCAGATGTGAAGAGAGCTGGGGTAGATGTCTCAGTCCAGGGCAGAGCTATGAGGAGAATCCCTGGCCTGCTCTGGAGCCAGGTCACTCCCTATATTCCGGCTCATGGCTGAGTTTGGGGAGATAGGTGTGCTCCGGGTCACATGACTATGTCTAGACACAAGCCCAGGATTATTAGTTTTTTTTTTCTTTTCCTGACTCTCCTTTAATTCATGTGCTCATTTGTGATAGTTCACCCAGTCTTGGCTGTTAGTAAGGCCCCAAGACAGAACTGCTGTTGCTTAGCAATGAGTCTGATGCATACCTCTTTGGGCAGGCTTTTGAGTCAGACATGTTAGAATACAACCCAGAGGGAGGCAGTTTGTGACTTTATATCTTGGCAGCAGCATGTGAAACTTGCAAGAGGTGCTTCTGGTTCAAAGGATGCGTGTCTTCGCTCATTCAGTTATCTGTGGAGGCTAAGCCAAAGGGACTTCCTCCATTTAAGCGCTGTTGCTTGGCAGGCAGGCTCTCCCAGTTGGTTCATTAATTGCAATTAGGCAAAACTGTTATTGATGGTGGTTTGACCTCACCATAGCCACAAGGTGAATGTATGTCTGGGCATGCAATTTTAATTGACGGTGGCCTGGGGGAGAGTTGGGGGGAAGGGATTAACCTGTTGGTATTTGCCATATTGTCAGCATTTATTCTATTGTGCAGTGCTTGAAAACGAAGCTAGCTGACCTTTGGTATTTTCTTAACATGTTGTAGATAGGAAAAATATCAAAAAACAAAAAGAAAAAACTGAAAAAGAAGCAGAAAAGGCAAGCTGAATTATTGGAAAAGCGCCTACAGGAGATTGAGGAATTGGAGCGAGAAGCCGAAAGAAAAACAGTAGAAGAAAACGTCACGCCTGATGTACCCTCCAATGAGCAGGATGGTGAATACTGCCCAGAGGTGAAACTAAAAACAGCAGAGTTAGAGGAGGCGGCCAAGGCAGAGACGGCTAATGACAACAATGGTCAGTAAGAGCAGACGCAGGGCTGATAGCGGGACCCAATCAGTCACCACTTGGTAGATGAGGATGATTCTCCTTACTAGGAAACACAGGGCACATTCTGGTACTTTTTTTTTTTATGTGCCAGAAGTATGATAATATTTTTTTAACGCTTTTTTAATGGGCAGGCACTCTTTTGGGGTCATGATTTTGTTTATAATTAACCTTTTAGTTATCAGTAACCTTTTACTTAATAGGCCTTTTCTGAAATTCTTGTGGAGAGCTTGGTTAGAGATGGAAGTGTATAGCTCTGGAGATTGTCATTCCCCCATGGCTTTCTCTACTAAGAGAATGCCAATTAATAAAAATAAAAACCTTATAGATTTTACCCTGGGAGCTAAAGCTTTTGCTGGGTAGTCTATGATTAAGTACATTAAAATATCTTGTCTATGGAGAGAAGTATCTAGTGCCGTTGTTACAATGAGTTAATGAGTTTCCATTTCTTTTTTTTTTTTATTTTTTTTGAGGGGGGGGTCACACCCAGCAATGCACAGGGGTTACTCCTGGTTCATGCACTCAGGAATTATTACTGGCGGTGCTCGGGGGACCATATGGGATACTGGGGAATTGAACCCGGGTCAGCCGCGTGTAAGACTAATGCTCTACCCATTGTGCTATATCGCTCCAGCCCTCGATTCTTTTTTTTTAAAAAATATTGATTCACTGTGAAATGGTTATAAATGGTTTGTCATACAATGTTCCAATACCCATCCCTGCACTGTTTTACTTTTCCCTCTATCAGTGTGAGTCCTAAATCTTAACTCAATTGATTCTTAGGTGAAACTGAGGATCAAGAAGAGAAGGAAGACACTGAAAAAGAAAACACCGAGAAAGATGAAGACGATGTTGAGCAGGAACTTGGAAACATAGACCCTACGTGGATAGAATCCCCCAAAACCAATGGCCATATTGAGAATGGCCCTTTCTTACTGGAACAGCAGTTGGATGACGAAGATGAAGAAGAGGAAGATGGCCCCAATCCTGAGGAGTACAACCGGGATGAGCCTGATGCAGAGAGCGATTATGCATACAGCAGCTCCTATGAACAATTCAATGGGGAATTGCCAAATGGACAACATAAAATGCCCGAGTCACAGTTTCCAGAATTTTCTCCATCAATGTTCTCTGGGCCCTTAGAACCTGTGGCGTGTGGCTCTGCTCTTTCCGTGGAATCCCCTCTCACTGAGCAAGAGGAAGGCAGTCCATCCCATGACCGAAGCAGGACCGTCTCAGCCTCCAGCACCGGGGAGTTGCCAAAAAGTAAGTGTATCTCCTTCTTCAGACAATTCTTGGTTGCCCAAGCCAGACCCTTGGCAGATGTCATGTCGGTAGTTAGCTGGAGTCATGTAGGTGTGCATTGACTTTGTTTCTTTTAAAGAAGAAAAAAAAACACAACTACTTCCTTATTTGTGATTGAAGCAATGTAATTTTAAATAGTTTTATCTCTGTCAGCTCCCTTTTCTGAGCTTTTCTCATTCTCTTTTTATAGGAAGTGACATTAGACATTTGGAAAAATCCTTCCAAATCTCACAGCTTTAACCCCTTTTTTGGAGTTGGGGATGTGCTCGAGGGACCTAGAAGTTGCCAGAGATCTAACCTGGGCCGACCCTCAGGAGACCAGCATCCCACCTGCTATCTGATCGTCTAAAATTTAGGTTTAGTTAGTTTCTATTTATGAAAAAATGTGCCTGCTGTTTATTCATATTGAAAGAGAAAGAGAAGCGTCTTATTTTCTGTTTCTAATGATAGTATTCTGCCATTGCAATTTTCACAGAATTTTAGAGGAGGTGAAGTGGACTTAAATGTCACGTGGACTTCCTCCAAGCCTTATTTTAAGCATGAAAACCACATCACGCACACATGACACAAGGGTAGCTTGAGCAAGCAAATGCGAGGTATTCCAATTGGCATCCAGTGTGGGAAAACTCAGAAGTCTCCACTGCTCCTGCTAGTGACAAGCTTGGTTTTTACATAGGAAGAGAATAGATGTTGGCCCAGGAAACGCTCCAGTCCCCTCCTGTGTGGTGGAGGCAGAGTCCTGCTGACTGGTGGTTACCCACTACTGACTCATCCTTAGGTTGTGGGTAGACTTTTCCCCTCCTAATGCCTCACACTGACCACTCTGGTTTGAAGTTGCAGAATCAAGTGCTCTCACGTGAGAAAACAGCACCTCTGCGTTTGTACTTTGAAGCAGAGATACGTCTCTGCTTCACTAGTTGTGGCACCTGTCACCATGTTGGGTATGGTTGTCCACCACCCCCCGCCCCCCCATATCGTGTAGTGCTCTGATGCCAACTGGTATTCCTGTCTTTTAACTCAGTTTGTCAAGGCTCCACAGGGTCCCATTTCCTGCACACATACACCCAGGCCAGTGGCAAGTACCCATTGTCACCGGTGCTTCTGACCAATCAGCTTGGAGTCAAAAGTTCGTGGCTTCTCAGATTTGGCTTATGAATTTGAGTACCTAAATCAGGAAATAGGGAGCACAGGGAAAGCTTTTCCTGTATTAGAACGCTAATTTATCATGAGCCGCTGTACCACAGAAGGAAGTGATGTGTGGGGTAGTGTGTCTGGGAGGGGTGGGGCACTGTTCTATTCTTCCAGGTACACTCTCACTTGTACCCCGCCCCCAATCTCACTCTCTCCTGTCTCAGACCCAAAAATTCTCTTTTCCTCTTGCCAGTGTTAATCATGCTTTTGAATAACTTGTAACTTTTATTTTATTTTATTTTATTTTTTGGGTCACACCCGGAGATGTTCGGTGGCTTACTCTGGGCTCTGCACTCAGAAATTGCTCCTGGCATTGTTCAGGGGACCATATTGGGAGAAGGGATCGAACCCAAGTTGGCAGTATGCAAGACAAGTGCCCTACCTGCTAAAGAAAAAGCTTTCTTTTTAAAACGCTCTATGTATAAAACCCTTGTTTTAAAAACGCAGTGCTGTGTTTAAAAAGCTTGTAAATTTTTAAAAAATTGTTGCGGTCGGCTACACTTAGGTTCTTTTTTGGTGCTCGGGCTGGTCTGGCAGTTCCTGGTTGTTACCCAGTTGTTTTGGGGACAGTGCGGTGTTGAAGACGGAACCCCAGGACTTACACAGACCCCACTTGAGCCATATCCCTGGCCCCTAAAGGTTTCCACGCCCCATGCACAGTTGGTCTGTGTGAAATATTCAACTTGGTTTATATGTTCTTTTAACACAACTCCATTTTGGTGGGTTGGGGATGGGGGCGTCAGGGGTGCACGGCCAGCTGCCCTGCTTTCTAAAGAACCAGGGTCTGTGTCTCTGGGCCAACCTTCCACTATCCTGGACTGGAGTTGACCATGTCTGCGGACAGTTTTTGTTATTCTTCATATTCTTTTAACAGAATGTTTTATAATGTGTCAAGAACATCGCAGGAATAATCTATCAATATATTTACAATTATTATAAATATATATACTATCTAAATATGTATTATAGATTTTGTAGATAATAATTTATATAATTTAAAGATATATAAATATATTTTAAAATTATATGTTATATCAATCTATATAAAATAGAAGCATATACCGATGTTTGGGTTGTAGTTACCTGTGCTAAAATGGATTTATCGAGGGGCCAGAGATAGGATTTATCAGTGGAATCACTCTCCTTGCATGTGCGAGGCCCTGGGTTTGGTCCCTGGGTTAAAACAAAACGAACTCTTTTTTTTAAGCTTATAAACTGATGGAATAAACAAAGGAAAAATGTAGCGATCTCAAATACAGCCGAGCAGCTTGCCAGTTTTGTTTTCAAGAGGGGATAGCGGGTCTGACTCTGGCCTGTTGACTTCTGTTCTTGCTATCCTGTTGGAGCTTTTCCTGCCCTCTGCAGCTCCTCCTGCCATCCATCCATTGTGTGGCCCTTTGCAGACTGCCCAGCCTCTAGGTGGAGTGACTGGAGCTCCTTCCTCTTTCTCACAAGGGTCATTTTTTTCTGAATCTGATGATCAGTCATTGTTTCCTTGACCTTTCTCCTCAGGGGAATGTGAGCTCTTCCTAGAAATTTTTTTTCCTTCTTTTTTTTTCCCCCCAGTGGAACCCCAGCCCATTCGGTTGTCTTGGCCTTGGGAGGGCTGTGTCCGTGGGAGCCCGTGGGTCTGTCTGAGGTGCTCGGGTCAGGGTATGGATCTTTCCCCCTGCCAAGTCTCTTTGTGTCCACGAGTATGCCGCATTTCCTGAACAATGAACAAATCAGTGCCACTTGGTTTTAAGCCCTCTTTCTCCTTTTTCCCAGCACTGTCAGTTCCGCTCTGGCCAGCACACCTCAGAGTCCTGCCTGCTTCATGGGCGTTGCATCAGGGAGACATGGCTTCTCTCTTTTATTTTTTTTATTTTCGCAGATGACGGCCTCTCTGCTAGCAGATCCTCAACAGGATTAAATTCTAGGGCCATCCCAGGAGTAGGGGCTTCTCCTGTTGTTGTTTTTTAGGAGGCCCTCAGCTTTGCAGCTCTCCAGCCTCTGGGTCACCTGGGGCAGCCTCTGGCATGGAGAGTGTTCTTGTGTCCTCCGTGAATGAGGGAATTGGCTCTATGGCTTAAAGACTGGCACTTGGCCTCTTGCTGCTAAGCAAGCAAGAGGCAGCAGGAGCCAGTTTATCTGAGCTGGGTGTTGATGCTGTTTGTAATCCGAGTGTATCATAGGAAGTGCTTGAAGGGATAAGGGAGGCCACCACAAAATGACAGGGAAAGGGGAGCCTTTTGATTTCTTTAGATTTGGTTTTGGTTTTGGTTTGAGGCCCCACCAGGCAGTGGAGCTCAGGGGACCATAGGAGGTGCCAGTTATTGAACCCAGGTTGTCTGCCTGCAAGGCAAGCCCCCTTCCCTCTGTTCTGTTCCTCAGCCCGGACAGGAAAAAGATTTGCCAGGCCAGGCCTGGAATGTGATCTTCTCCCTAGATTAATTTCCCCTCGAGGAGGAGCCGTTGAAGGGAGGAATATAAAGGCTGACTTCCCCTTGCGTCATTAGCTGCCAGGTGCCTTGTGTGGATTACTAAATCTAAAGGGAGAGATCTTGGAGCAGGTGCTCTTGCTGGCTCTAGCCCGACTTTGGACCCCTTCGCTCTTCTCATCTCCAGCCATCACTGTCAGCCCTGCTCCGTCTTATCTCACATTCACTTTTGCTCCCTAGATGATTCACTGTTTTAGAGAGATTTTTGTTTTGGGGCTACCGCTGGTTGTGCTCAGGGCTTACTCCTGGCTCTGCACTTCTGTCTGGCTCAGAGGACCATCTAGGATGCCAGAGATTGATGCGGAGTCCACCACCTGCAAGGCAAGCATCCTCCCTGCTGAACTGTTGTGCCAGCCCCTGATAGAGTTCTTTTCTCTCCCCCCCCCCCCCCACAGTCTTCACTGCGTCTGTGCTTGGGGTCTGTGTGGACCCTGATATCCTCTCAACATCCAATGTCCTCAGTTTCCCTCCCACCATCCAGCCCACTGCCTGTCTTTGTGTCACCCCCCTTTCCCTGTTTCAGAACATCCTTTTTTTTCTCCTGGTGCGGGTCTTGGGCCGTTCGGTTTCTGCTCGATTCCCTGTGTCCGTGTTTCTTCTCAGCTGGTTTCTGGCTTCTGGTGAGACCCCCCACCCCCGTGGGGCCCAAGCACTGGAACCTGGCCGGCCCCAGGGGTCCCCCTAGTGTTTTTAAAGACTTTATTATTGAATCACTGTGAGATAGATCCCTCACAAAGCTGTTTATAATTTCGTTTCAGTCATACAGTGTTCCAACACCTATCCCTCCACCAGCATGCATTTCCCAGTGTCTCTAGTTTCCCTTCCTCTAGCAGGCTCTCTCTCTCTCTCTTTCTCTCTCTCTCTCTCTCTCTCTCTCCTTCTCTCTCACTCACTCTCTCTCCCTTTCTTCCACCCCCTTCTCCCTTTCTCATTGTGGTTTGCAGCACAGATACTGATCGGTTATCATCCCTTTAGCTATTTTTGATGCTCAGTACTTGTCTAGTATGATTATTTACAGCTATTATTGTCATCCTGCTCTCTTCTCTATCTTATCTACCCTCTGCCCCACACACAGTTGTGGTTGATTCCAACCATTGACCAGTCCTCCTAACCGTTTTCCCTGGCTGTAGATATGTCTTCTGCGTATATACATTTATTGTATACCGCAAATGAAGGCAGCCATTCTGTCTCTGTCTCTCTCCTTCTGACTCCTTTCATTTAGCATGATATTCTCCGTGTCCATCCATTTGTTGGCAAATTTCTTGACAGCATTTTTCCTAACAGCTGAGTAATATTCCATTGTGTAGATGTGCCATGGTTTCTTTGTCCATTTGTTTGTTCTGAGGCGGTTTCCAGATTCTGGCTATGGTGAATAGTGATGCACCGAACATAGGGGTGCAGATGGTGTTTCTTCTGAGTGTTTTTGGTCCCCCAGAAGGAGTGAGTCTTTAGAGACTTCCAGCCTATGTTCTCTTCTGCCTCCCTTGAGTCCCAGGAAAGAGGAAGGAGACTGGGACCTGCCCAGTTGCCCAGGGAAGACCTTGTGCCCGGCGCTGCTCCATCTAGAGGCTAGGCAGTCTGGGAAGGGCTGCACAAAGGCTGGACAGGAGGAAGTGCCGAGGAGCCGCAGGGAAAGCTCCAACAGAGGAGCAGGAACAGAAGCGAACACGCCAGAGTCAGACCTGCTATTCCATCTTGAAAGCAGAATGGGGAAGGTCAGGGCTCACTCCCGGTTGGGCTCAGGGACCTATAGGAAGTGCCGGTCATGGGAACCCAGGTTGTCTGCCTGGAAGGCAAGTCCTGTTCCTTCCTTTCTATCTCTTGCCCACTCTCCAGCAGCCCCTTACTCCCTCAGCCCCCAGTGCTGGGTGGGGTGTCAGGTGCCACCACCCCCAAGCCCCAGGTTAGCTCTGGGCCCTTGCTGAAGAGCAGAGCCTCCTCTCACCGCCACCGGAGCGCCGTGACATGCGTGAGCCCATGGGGAGACCGTGCAAGGCTGTATAGTGTTCTGTGCTGGCCAGATTCTGCTGTTTAGTCTCTAAGTTCCATTTCAGAATCCTAAAACAGACAAAAACCGCAGCTGCATTTCATCCTTCGCTGAAATCTGAGATTTTTAGGTCAGTTTGAGGTTGGGTGATGAGGATGCTGACTCACTGGAGGAGTCTCTGTCTGGCCCACACTGGCTTTGTTTCCTTTGCTACTTGTTAGCGGGCTTGCTCCTAAAATAACCGCCAGGGTTTGGAATTGACTGAAAAGCAACCCTGGGGCCCTCAGAAGCAGCCGTGTGTGTGTGTGTGTGTGTATGTGTGTACTTATCCTAAGCAACTGCATGGTGTGTGTTTTCTCTGGGTCACCTTGGAGTTGAATGTGGCCCTGAGCATTCTAGAATTTTACCAGGACCTTGGCCCATATTTGACAAAGTCACTTCCTGGGGATTTTCCTTGTCCATAGTTGATGGGTTCAGAGCTTAGTTCTGTGGTTGTTCGTTGTCCCCGCGCCAGTGAGATCCGTGCACTCAGCCCGGGCAGTGGCAGAGGTCGGCTGTGGGTACCAGGCACCAGGAGGGGTTAGCTGCTAGGGCAGCCTCCTTTCTGCTGCTGTGCCCCGCCAATCCGAACCGGGTGTGGTCCACAGGAAGGGGGTGAGCTCTGCCACTGCGAGCCAGCAGGGAAAACACCTGGCAGGCTGGGGATCGAATGTAGGCAGCCTGTGTGCCCCCCAATATTCTCAGAGACGGAGCCTGAGAATCACAGAAACTGTTGAGTTTCCCTTATGAGATTCCGGGCCTAGGTGGCCCTGCTGGCTGTTTTTCTAAACCGCGGACCCCATGCCCGGCAAGCGTGGCATCCGCACATGCTTCTCACTCAGCCCTGCGTCCTAATCTATCTGTTATTTACTCACCGCAGCGAAAACCCGGGCCGCCGACTTGTTGGTGAATCCCCTGGATCCACGGAATGCAGATAAAATCAGAGTGAAAATCGCCGACCTGGGAAATGCCTGCTGGGTGGTAAGTGGCCCTTCCCTTCCCGAAACCCGTTGGTCGCGATCGTGTGTGTCAGAGCCTCGATTTCCGCAGTCCATGTCCACGTCCCTCCCCAGTAACGCCCTCTGTTCCCTTCCAGCACAAACACTTCACGGAAGACATCCAGACGCGTCAGTATAGATCCATAGAGGTTTTAATAGGCGCAGGGTACAGTACGCCTGCGGACATTTGGAGCACGGCGTGTATGGTAAGAATGGCCTTTTGCCACTCTCTCCCACCTATGCACTTGGCCCCATCTGTCCTTACGCCCGCAGTGAGGGTGACGTCACGCTGGTCCATGTGAGATGCCGAGGGGAAGGTTGCTGCCGCGGGTGTCTTAGGAAGTGGGAAGCATCCTGGGCCAGAGGCATCTCAGTGGGCTCAGCTGCTGTTGTGGCAGCAGAAGGGCTGGGTTTGCTCCCCCCCCCCCCCCCCCCCCCGCTCCAAAAGAAAAAACCGCTGGGCACTGCCCGGGTGTAACTTAGAAAATGGGAAGAAGACAGTTTTTCTCAAACCATCTCATTCTCCTCAGGCCTATTTCAGGGAAATTTTGCTTTATTTGTGTCTCCCGAGGACCCACTCCTTCAGCCTCCCCACACGCTACACACATCAGCCCTGTCTCCCCATCCCGGGCAAGAGGGGGCTTCTCCGGTGGGGATGGTTGTCTGTGTGTGAGTGCTGACACCTTCTCGGTGGCCTCTGGTAGAGCCTCTTGCCCTGCAGGGGAGGAAAGTATTCCTCAGAGCCAACGCTCGCCCTACCTTGTTTTTAATTTCTTTCTTTGAAAGGGGCTGCACCCAGCAGTAATAATGGGGCAGGGGGCAAAAGGGTTCCTTCCAGCAGTGCTTTGGGGGAGTCAAGGGCCATGCCCTATGGAGCTCAATGGAGCGTGCACTCTGTGTGTGTGTGTGTGTGTGTGTGTGTGTGTGTGTGTATGTGTGTGTGTGTTTGTCTCTCCACATGCCTGGATACTGGTAGGACTGAGGGCCCCTGCTGGCCTGTGTTCTACCGTGAGAGCTCTGTTATGGCACTATTTCCTCTGCCTTTATGAAGGGCGATCTTGAAAACCTTTTAGCGTGTTCATTGCCCTCGGCTGTCTGGGCACTTTGGAACAGCCCCAGTGTGCTTATACAGTGCACGGTGAGTGGACACTCAGCGCCCTGGGGTGTGCTGCCTCACCCAGCTGTCAGCCCTGGGGGTGCCACTCCTCACCCTGCACCTCATACTTTCCACACCTGCAAGATTGATGAGCATGAATGATCCCTCTTACCTTAGCCAGTCTGTGTCTGTCTCAGCATCTTTTAGTGAATTCAGCCACATTGTTCTTATGCTTAAAATGGGAGGGTTGGTGGTAATGGGATGTTTCTTAGACTGGTGTTGTATTTTCTTAACTCTCCAGCAATCAAATTCAGGACTTGACAGCTGTAAGGCAAGTGCTCGTCTCCCTCCCACTCAGCCCCATTTCTGGCTCCTTCCAGTTCTCTGATACTCTCAGCCATGTGTCGTCCAGATTCTCTTCTCATGAAGTGAAAGGACTTTTCAGAAAGCAAGGCCGTTGCCTCCTCATTCTCACAATTGCACGGCCCGAGAGCCTGGAGCATGGGCTTTGCCTGAAGGAGCTCTGAGTCTGGTCCCAGGCACCACGTTGTTTCCTCAGCACCCCTAGGTGACAAGAACAACAGAAAAAAAATTTTTTTATAAAATGCAATGCACAGGGCCAGAGCGATAGTACAGCAGGGAGGGTGTTTGCCTTGCACCCGGGTTCAATCCTTGGCATCCTATATGATCCTCTGAGCACTGCCAGAAATGATTACAGAGTGCAGGACCAGGAGTAACCTCTGAAAGTTGCTGGGTATGACCCAATAATAATAATAATAATAATAATAATAATAATAATAATAATAATAATGGGCTGGAGCGATAGCACAGCGGTAGGGCGTTTGCCTTGCACGCAGCCAACATGGCCGACCTGAGTTCGATTCCTCCGCCCCTCTCAGAGAGCCCGGCTAGCTACCGAGAGTATCTCGCCCGCACGGCAGAGCCTGGCAAGCTCCCCGTGACGTATTTGATACGTTAGTGTGGTGGCTCAGGGATTGCTCCCAGTGGTGCTCAGGGACCATACAGTGATGGGGAATGAACACAGGCCGTGAGGCACCAGATGATAATGCTTTGCTTTTCTATTTCTGTATGCCTCTGACATAGCACTAGATCATAGCTTTAAGCATAAAGATTTTTGGTGACTGTCAGCACCTCAGCCGTGCTTGGTGTGTTTGGAGAGAATGCTTCAAAGAACTGTTGACCATGGACTGATTCCTTTGTGCTCATCTGAGACGCCGTTATGTGGAGCAGAATCCACCTCACCCTGTGAGGCTGGAGCAGGAGGAGGAGGAGGAGGAAGTGGCGCAGGGGAGCAGTGGGTGGCTGAGGTCAGGGCGCTAGAAAGGGAACATAGCTCAGGCCGGAGCTGTGGGGAAGGAATGTTCCGCCTCTGGATGTGGCGAGATGGAGCCTCCCACCGCATCAGCAGAGAGATGGGCCCCAGTTGGGACTGTCCAAACCTGGGCACTGAGAACTCTTTCAACTCTGAAACCTTGTGCTTCTAAGTGTGCAGGTTTGGGGGTGGGGGGGTGTGATTCTGGGGATGTAACCTGAGAAATAGGACACGGTCACTGAGGTGAGTAAGTGATGGTGGCTCAGTCCTCCCTCTTCGCCTCTTTTGCCCTCAGATGAGGACCCGCCCTTGCACACAGTCTCGGTCTAGTTGACTTCTGTTTTTGCTTAGAAAAAGTGGCAGGAGCCGCAGTGGGAAAGGGCTCTGCAAAGACCTGGGACGTGTGCGTGTGTGCGTGCGTGTATGTCCATGTAAGCACCTTGAAAAATGGCAGGAACCTCAGTGGAAAGGGGGCTGTAAAGACCGGTGGGAGGGGGGCTGTTGTGTGTGTATTTGTCTGTGTGTGTGTGTGTGTGTGTGTACACGCACATGCTCTTTTGAATCTATTCGACACCATTCCTGAGAATCAATCACAGGTGCTTCCAGCTCCGCAAGGGCTATTCTGAGGTTTTAGGCTTTTGTTTGTTTTAGTTCCTTATCATAAAAGATTTTTGTTGTTCTTCCTGGTAACCTGGTAAAGCTGCGATCTTGTTTGCCTGCTCCTCCACTTTCCTTATGGTTTCAAATGAATCTGTTGAATTCATAGGATCAGACTGCAGTGATGCCTTGGATAGTTTTGTGTGCCAGGGCCTGAGGTTCCTCCGCTGTTAGGGCCATGCAGAGAGACACTGTCCTTGCCCAGGCTGATTCTGGGGTGGGGATGAGAAAGAAGGAACGAGGGACCGTAATGGCTCCCTGAAGAATATTTTTTTTCTTTTTGAGTCACAACCGGCAATGCACGGGGGTTATTCCTGGCTCTGCGCTCAGGAATGACTCCTGGTGGTGCTTGGCTTCCTCCTGACTCCTGGGACCATGCGAGAGTCGCTTTCTTGGCTCTCACTTTTTATTTGTTTGAGTCTGGGACTCGCTGAAAAGAGGATGGAAATAGATGATAAGGTGCTGAAAAGAGATGCTGGCCACAGCTCCCCAGGCCCAGCGGAGTCCGGAGAGCTGCCTTGGGGCTTCCTGCGGGCAAGCGAGATTCAGACAGGCTCCCAGCACCTGCCCAGGCCTTCAGACCTGGTCTTCCATCTCGTGACTGTAGTCAGTCCTGCTCGCTTCATTTCAGAGATGTAAGGATGTTTCCGAAGCTTCTTTGAGCATTCCTAGAATGAAGTTTGTTGTTGTTGTTGTTGTTGTTTCTGTGTGTGGGGATGGGATTGTTTTGTTTGTTGTTTGGCTTCTTGGGTCACACCCAGTGATGCACAGGGTTTACTCCTGGCTCTGCACTCAGGAATTACTTCTGGAGGTGGTTGGGGGACCCTATGGGATGCTGGGAATCGAACCCGGGTCAGCTGTGTGCCTTGCAAACGCCCTCCTCGCTATGGCCCCAATGTAAAATTCTCCAGGAGGCCCTTTGATTTGTTTGATCTTGGATCCTCAAAAACGTGGGATCCTTTGAACCAGGAGAAAAAGTTGCTGACTCGGGTCCATTTCCTGCGCCAGCCTGAGCCTGTGATCTGTTGCATCCTAGGCATTTGAGCTGGCCACGGGCGACTATCTGTTTGAGCCGCATTCTGGGGAAGACTATTCCAGAGATGAAGGTGAGTCTGCCTGCCCTCCCACACCCGTCGGCCGCTTGGCCCCAGCTTCCCGGGAGGGGTTGATTTCACCTCCCCGCAGTAGAGCTGTGCTCTGGTTTCTGGACACCAAATTCAGGTGCTTTTCATTTGCGCTGAAGCCCCCTTAGTGGCAAGGAATGGGCAGAGTATCCGGGAGCCCTCGGGGCCGCTCCTGCAGCTGTGGCTACTGGCCAGGGAAGGTGGGGGTGGGGGGGTGGGAGGGGGCGGAAGCTGTTCTGTTGACCCTCTGGTCTACTCACCACCTGCCCACTTCCTGGTGTACCATTTGGGAGCTGAGTTGGGAATCCCAGATTCCGGCTAGTGAATCCCATCCGTAGACCTGACCATCTCCATGCTTATTGACTTGGCAGTGCTGGGGTGGGGGGGTCAGGGGGCAGCGGGGGGGGGGGGGGGAGCACTAGGCATGTGGGCGCAGCTGCTGCCCTGTTGGGCCTGTGCCGGAGGCCTTCCCTCCTGGCGCTCCGCGTGAACACGCTGCAAACATGTTGGTTTGAATTGAAATCTGATTTTTTTTTTTTACTAATTTCAATTTTTTTCCCTTCTTTTATCCCATCCTTCCCTCCACCCCTCCTCCCATTCCCATATCCTTTTCTTTTTTTTTTTTTTCTCTCCTTCATAGACCACATAGCCCACATCATAGAGCTGCTAGGCAGTATTCCAAGGCACTTTGCTCTATCTGGAAAATACTCTCGGGAATTCTTCAATCGCAGAGGTAGTACCTCTTCTTTTCGAAAAGCGCCACGATGCAGACAGAAATGGAATAGCAGCCGCCGTTGGTGGCATGAACGGTGACAGGCAGTGCTCCTAAATTTCCAAAAGCTGGTCCAAACACTGAGCAGGGAAGTCTGCATTTGGCCCGGGACTGTGGTCACCTGTGCCTCAGCCTCCTCGGCACCCCGGGGCGAGCCCGAGGGCCCAGGCCGCTCCGTTTCTGTCTGCGCGGGCCTCAGCCGTGTCTGCATGCCGTGTACTGATTAAACTGTCATGTGTTTCTGTTTTGCTGGCAATGTTTCCCAATGCAGATCACATAGCATTGATCATTGAACTGCTGGGGAAAGTCCCTCGAAAATACGCTATGTTGGGGAAATATTCCAAGGAGTTTTTCACCAGAAAAGGTAACGGTATTTATGCAACACTCATTTACCTCTTAAAGTGCTCTCCCCAGAGTGGGAGGAAATTTTGCATTTGTATTTGGGCAAAGAAGAAAGATTTGGACTTGGATGACCGAGGAACCTGCTGAAAACACTGCTCAAGAAATAAACTCCAACCATCTATTCATGTGGTAAAATAATTTTATAAGAAAACCTTTATAAAACTTGTTATCTCCTCTACCTCTTCGCTCACCAACTCAAAACACCTATCTATGTATAAAAGGGGTTTAAGGTGGGTTTTTTGTTTTGTTTTGTTTTTTGGCTACTCCTGGCAGTGCTCAGGGGTGATACAAGGTGAACTACTGGCAGGGCTTGGAAGGATCAGAGCTGGGGTTCGAACTGGGTTGGTCATGTGCAAGGCAATCACCGTACCTCCTATACTGTCTTCTCCAGCTCCAAGTGATATTTAAGAATTATCTTCCCATTTTTAATTTTTTTCCCTCCTGTGATGCTCCCAGCTCTGTGCTCCCAGCAGTGCTTGGACGGGGCCCATACCTGCAGAGTGCAGTATAGGCGTTTTGAGCAGTGTTCACAGCCTGCCGCCTCCCGTTTCCTCCTGACTGACTGTTCTGTGGTGAGGTTGGGGGAGAGTCCGCTCTGAGTCCGGTTCCCTCAAGCAGGGCGTGGCAGTCTCCTCATGCCGTTCCCCAGCCGTGTTACGGGCTGTGCAAAGTCCTTGCCTCGTGCGTCTTGAGCGGCAGAGCGGGAAGCCCAGGGCACCTCGCAGCATCGTCAAGTCGTCTCCTGGCTTCTCGGTGGGCAACTTCCGGCCTCTCATGAGAAGATGTCTAAGGGGAGGCCAATCCTAGGCCATCTAGGAGAACGTCATCTGTAAGTCGCTGCGCAAGTCCTGTCAGAGATAGATGGCGCTGGCCCAGCGGGTGGACCAGCTCTCGCCCTGCCTCCAGGACACGTCCAGAAAATCATTTTGAAGAACACCAGAATTTCTTTCGGCCTGGGAAGCCAGTGTATCCTGTCTTGCAGCAACACAGACTGCAGAAGGTTTCCGGATCTCCTGGGGGACAGACCTCGTGGTTGTGGGGTGGCCTTGCTTGGTGGAAGTCGTGCAGCCAACCCCTCAGGCCGTCCTTCACTGAAACACCTGCCTTGCCCTTTCATGAAGATAGTGTTGTTGACCTGCTGACTGAAGCGAGAGGTGTTGACCACCAGCCATGCCCAGGTTGAGCAGTTTTGGTGCCAGGCCATGGGCACCTCCCTTCCATGTTGAGGGCATCAGTTAGGACTGGTGCACGCTCATTCCCTTCATCAGCTGATGCTCATGCCCAACACTCACCCCCAACACAGACCCCCCTACCCCCACCCCCGGTGCCTTGGAGAGGGGTGGCATGCCCCAGGGCTTGCCAGTCCTTTGTCTGGGCTGGGAACCCCCTGTCAGCTCACACTGGAGAGAAGAGAAAGAGCGGCAGGAAGAGGCCGCCTGGTGGCGGTTGAGTGTTGCAGCCTGCACTAAGCTCACTCTGGTCGCTGGAGGATGCCGTGCCCGGGCTCCTTCCAGTTGTACCTGCCAGCTGCAGGCAAGCAGGACGGCCCTCGCTTTTGGCTCTTCTCTCAGCCTGTTATCGTCTGCCCGTCTGTCTGTCCGTCTCTCAGTCCATAGGCATATCGGCAGGGTTTTCCTTCCTCGAGGTCAGACTGTGGATGGGGCTTGTTTTCTGCTCTAAGCTCGTGCCCTGTGGCCCTGCGTCTGAAGTCACCAGCTTTCTCCAGCTCCCATGTCAGTTCAGCGGCCTTTGCTCCCTCCCTTGGCTGCTCCCAAAGGCAACTAGGAAGTGCTTGACAGAGGGTCCAGAGAGAGAGTACAGCCGGAATTCCCCTGGCAACCGCCCTGCCCTAGTTACACCCCTGCTTACCCAGGCTCACAGTCCCCCCACATGGGGTTTCCCAGCCAAGCCAGGAGTGAGCCCTGGGCACAGCATGAGGCTCAGTGCCCTCATGCCCCTGCTCTGTCTGGTTTGCACTTGTGTGTGTGAGAGCTGACAGCCAGGAAAGGAGCAGGGTCAAAGATTTGACTGTCACAACTGTCTGTTGGTAACAGCTGTTTCCACAAGACATATCTTACTGTTTTACTAAATCAAAAAAAAAAAAAACCAAGGAAAACATTCTTTTTTTTGGGTGAGCGCCCACCCAGCGGTGCTCAGGATTACTCCTGGCAGTGCTCAGGAAACCATACGGAGTGCCAGGGAAGGAACCCGGGTTGCCCAAGTGCCAAGCAAATGCCCTCCCTGCTGTGCCATCTTTCCAGCCCAAGGTAAAAATTCCTTGAATTGATAGGGTGCCCTTGTATTTTGTGTTAAAATAATTGCAACCTGTGAACTTTTTTTTTTTTTTTTTTGGTGGAGAGGGTTTTCCTCTAGCAGTGCTCGGGACTTACTCCTGGCTCTGTGGTCACAAATCACTTATGGTGGGCTTGGGGGACCAGATGAATTTTGAGGATCAAAGCTGGTTTGGCCACATACAAGGTAAAGACTAAATTTAAAAAAAAAAAACAAGGAAAAATTTTCCTCCAGCACCCCACTCCTTAAAAAAAAAAAAAACAGGCTGGAGTAATAGCATGTCAGGTAGGGCATTTGCTTGCATGCCCCCGACCCGGGTTTGATTCCCAGCATCCCATATGGTCCTCTGAGCACCGCCAGGAGTAATTCCTGAGTGCAGAGCCAGAAGGAACCCCTGTGCATTGCTGGGTGTAACCCAAGAAGGGGAGGAAAAACCTCTTACATTCTTTGACAGTTTTGCAGTAAAATGTGTTACTTTTTCAAGAGGAAGATGTGTAAAATAGTTTTTAAGATGTCCTGCTATCTTTTTCACCAGGGGGTAGTTGTTACTCGGGCTTCACCTGCCTCTAAGCTCAGGAGTGACCCCTGGCGTGCTAGTGATGGCAGGATGCAAGGCAAATGATCTCTCTAGCCCATATCACCATATTTAAAGTTTTTAAATATTAATTTATTTTTGGGTTTAGGCCAAACCCACCAGTTGGGTGCTCAGGGATCACTCCTGGTGGGGCTTGGGGGACTATGTGCTGTGCCCGGGATTGAAACCTGCTTGGCCCATACATATTTTTAAGATGATTATTAGTGGTAGTGGAGGTAGCTGGAAGTGAGGGCGCACATACTCCTCATAAGGTGCTGCTCTTGTTATTTCCGCAAGTAGGAGACACAAGCTTAAGTGCTCCCAGTTGGGTTTGAGGCCACTCCTTCTTCCTCCTGAAGGTCCTTTGGGGACCCTCTGCTGCAGATGACCTGGTGTGTTAACTTGATTGTCTTGGGTCCCTGGATGGGCGTTTCTAAATTGCTCTTAATCCTGAGCATTAGTCATTTTGCCAAGTGTATGGGATTTTATAGTCGTCATATTTTGGGGTTAGGATGGTTTCTTTAGGTTGATTGGTATTTTGTTCCCTTTGGGGGCCACACCCAGCAGCACTCAGGACTTAATTTCTGCATTCCTGGCAGGCAGGAATGCATAAGGCACGGAACCATAGGGCAGTGAGGATTAGAACCTGGGTAGGCCATGTGCAAGGCAAGTACCCAACCCTCTATACTATCTGCCACCTTAGGTTGGGTTGTGAGAACGTGAATTGAGAGATTAAAGGAGATAAACATTTGATGAGTGGCCTGAGCTTTTGTGTTTATGGAGACTGTTTCCTTCCACAGGATGGAACCCTTTCTCCTAAGTGTTCTGGCCATTTTCTAGTTATAAACAGATCCAACTATAATTTGGAAGTGATGCTTAACTCTCACCTCACATTGAAGCCAGAAGCTTCCAGCCCCTTTAACAGGAAACATTCTCAGAGCCAGAGATGTAGTACAAAGAGTAGGCTGTTAGTCTTGCATGCGCTGACCTGGGTTTGGTGCCTGGAACCCTATGTGGTCTCCTTAGTATCTTCAGGAGTGTTCCCTGAGCCTACAGCCGGGAGTAAGCCGTGGGCATCGATGAGTGACCCTGGTCCCAAACAGAAACATTTTCAAAGATTGAGTCCAATTCTGCAGACACACGATTCTATGAGAAGGCATACTGAAATCACTATAGGTAAAAAGAGTAAGTCATTGTGGGGTGGGATTTCATATCATTTGTCCTAAGTTTTGATTTTTTATGTTTTTTGACTTCCTATAGTCTTTTAGTTATTAACTAGTAAAAAAAGAAAGTATGTTGTTGAATACATTGTGGTGAAATAGATCTGGCTTCTAATCTGGCTTTTTATAATTATAGGCATGATTCTTTGTCTATGTAGTATCAGAATGATAGTATAGCACATCCCCTCTATGGGTGCTCTTGGAGACAGATACTAAAGGGTACACAGGGAGGTTTCTGGGCAGAGTGGTGTGTTCTGTGGATATATCTACCACAAAAGACGTTATGAAATAACGTGACATCTCCCCCTCTCCCCCCCCCCCCCCAGATTACTCACCATTTCCTTTTCAGGTCTTTTTGAACCCTCAGAATTTATTTTTTAATTGAATCACTATGAGATGACAAAATTACAAAGTTAGTCATGGTTGGGTTTCATACGGTGTTCCAATATCGTCCTTACACCAGTGTTCATTTCCCACCCCAATGTCCCCAATTCTCCCCCACCCCCACCCCCCACATGCCCTTATCACCTACCTTTAAATATAAGGCAGACTTTTCTTCTCTCTCTTTCTCCCTCCCCCTTCCTTCCCTCCCCTTTTTTGGGCATTATGGTTTGCAATGCAGATACTGAAAAGCATTGTAGTACTTTAGTACTGTCCTCCCGTTGTTCATGATTTGCTCGAGCAGGCACCAGTAAAGTCTCCATGACTTGTTAGTGTTTTTGGCATATTCAAATACTCCATGGGGAGCTTGCTGAAAAGGTTACCTTTTATGTGCTTTTAATCTTCTTTCAGCACTCAGTTCTTGTCCAGAGTTTACGCCCAGAGTTTTATATCTGAATGCCCTGACTTTCACGAAATTCTTATAGACATAGGTACTGACTGATTTGAATTTGCCTCCAGAATTGTGCTTGCCGTCTAGGGCAAGTAACATTTAAAATGAAAATTAGAACTTCATTCCTTAGGCCCATGAAGCACATTCCAGGTGCTCCTAGATACAGCTTACAGCTCTGCTCTCGGGCAGTAGAATAACGTCAGCTGTCCCAGAAAGCTCTCCAGTGGTGCTGCTCTGTAGGAGTCTTACGCATGCTGTAGGTATACAGAATGTTCTGTGGATTTTAGTGTGTTTCTTTAAAGCTCATTTCTAAGTCACTGTCACTGTCCTCCCGTTGTTCATCGATTTGCTTGAGTAGACCCAGTAACATCTCCATTGTGACACTTGTTACTGTGTTTGGCATATCGAGTATGTTACGGGGAGCTTGCCAGGCTTTACCGTGTGGGCGAGATACTCTCAGTAGCTATCCGGGCTCTCCAATAGGGGTGGAGGAATCGAACCCGGGTCGGCCATGTTGGCCATGTTCAAGGCAAATGCCTTACCTACTGTGCTATTGCTCCAGCCCTTATCAATGACAAAAACTATAAAACTTTTCTCCTAAGATCTGGAACAATAGAAGAGGATTTCCATTTTCACCAGGCTCTCTGAGAGGGGTGGAGGAATCAAACTAGGGTCAGCGATGATGGCTGTGTGCAAGGCAAATGACCCACCCTCTGTGCTATTGCTCCAGCCCCTAAGTAAATTTTTTTAAAAAAATTGGTTATTGCATAAGAAAATATCTAGAGTGGACTCATTTTACCTAGAGTCCCTGTAACCAGAATTGTTACCTTGTGAATTAATCCTGTTTACATTCACTGTGCTCATTGGCAATACCGAAGGGTCTTAAGTACATTGGGTTGGTTACTGCGGGAGGGGGAACGTGGTTTGCTTTGTTGCTGTAATGTTGAGCAGGTTGGTTTTCTTTGCTTTTTTGAAAAGAGCCAGACTGGACCCATAGCAGGAAAATGAAAACTTGGACTCGCTTGACCTTGCCTGTTTTTCCCTGTAGGAGAACTGCGGCACATCACCAAGCTGAAGCCCTGGAGCCTCTTCGATGTACTTGTGGAAAAGTATGGTTGGCCCCCTGAAGATGCAGCACAGTTTACAGATTTCCTCATCCCGATGTTAGAAATGGTTCCAGAAAAACGAGCCTCAGCTGGCGAATGCCTTCGGCATCCTTGGTTGAATTCTTAGCAGATTTTACAAATATAGCATTCTGAGCTAGCAAATGTTTTCCAGTACATTGGACCTAAACGGTGACTCTCATTCATTAACAGGATTACAAGTGAGCTGGCTTCATCCTCAGACCTTTATTTTGCTTTGAGGTACTGTTGTTTGACATTTTGCTTTTGTGCACTGTGATCCTGGGGAAGGGTAGTCTTTTGTCTTCAGCATAGTAGTTTACTGACCCACTTTCTTCTGGAAACAATAACATGTGTCTAAGCTTTGTTTCTTGTGTTGTGTGACATTCAAGTGTCAATTTTTTGGAACAAAAAATACTTTCCCTCCTTGTGTTTTGGCAGGTTTTGTAACTATTTATGAAGAGATATTTTAGCTGAGTACTATATAATTTACAATCTTAAGACATTATCAAGTTGGAATTAAGAACTATAGCAAGGAAATGTATAATTTTAATCTTCTGGCAAAGGGACATCATTCCTGTATTATAGTGTATGTAAATGCACCCTGTAAATGTTAATTTCCATTAAATAAGGATGGGGACTCAAATTTCTGAAGAGCTACTAAGTCTTGAGTGCTTTGTAGCCTATGTTGCATGTAACAGAATTTAACTGCCCAAGGAGTTTTGAGAACTTTCATTCCATAGCATAATCCTTTGCATTGGGGTTTTAAACAAAGTGGCTCTGGGCTAAAGAGTATCATTCCATATGTGGCACTTTACAGGAAGAAAAGACATACTTCTCTTGCTAAAATAAGTATTTGTAAGGATTAGGATTTAGTTTTCTCATACTTTTTTCCCCTTCTCCTAAGTTACTTTTTAAGAAGAGCAGTTTCCTCTTACCAGTGTGTTCTCTCGATACCATGTGCTGTTGCCTCCTCCGGGCACCTGTAAGTTAAACTCAACATAGATTAAATTGGACAAGGAAACATGTTCAGTGTGTGAATGAAAAATACATACCTATGCTGTCGGGTGAAAGGCTTGCGTATGTTTGTCTAAAACCAAGGTGTGGCATATACAATTTACAGTACAATAGGCAGAATTCTAACACTGGGAGGTCAAAGTGATCACATTCATTCCATAGGCAGTTTTATATGTGACTATGGCACGTTTTACTACCTTTTTTATTTTCTTCCTGTGAACTGAAGTTGAAAAACTGATTTTCCCTTTGCAGGTCGCAGTTTTGTTTATGCATTTCCTCTGAATTGCAGAATCCAGGTCACAAACCATAGTAGGCAATACAATTTTAGAATGTAACATACTGAGGTAAATTTAGCCTCTTTTAGAAGTCATTGGATTGAATGTGTTTTTTTTTAATTCATTAAGGTGCCTCTTTTTCTTGACTTTGTCCATTAATATTTATCCATATATGCCTTTGCAATAACTAGATTGTGAAAAGATAACAAGTGTTGTAACAATAATCCATTGTTTGAGGTGCTTGCAGTTGTCTTAAAAAAATTAAAGTATTGGGTTTTTTTTTTCCAGACATTGCCTTGGTCATTGGCCTATATATGAAGTGATATTCAACAAACATTTGCTTTTTTAGTGTAATGTAATCAAAAGTAAAGAAAATATCCACATTCTTGTTGCAGGAAATGTAGTTTTATAACATGCATTGAGGCTATTACAAGGAAATCCATTCATTGTTTTTGTAAAGATAGAATGTAGATGTAGAAAAGATGCTGTAGTATAGATATTTACCTAGAATTTAAGTGCTCCTTTTTCAGATTCATGTTTAATCAAAACTGAATTTCATTGAGCATTGCAATTTTTTAAACTATTCATTGTAAGAAATAAGACACATATCCTCTTAAAAGTTATCGGTGGAACAGACCAATCATTTATGAAAGGTGCATGCTTTTTAAAATTGAGGCTGTGAGATACCTATTTAAGTTCTGTGGCAGATGGTGACTATGCTAACCACAATTTCCATAGGATATATTCTTACAAGAACCGCTTAACACTTGTCTTCCCAGGTTCTATGCCAGTTTTTATCAGGGTTATTTACACACTTGAACTAAATTTAGTTGTCTAAATCAGTTTTGATTCATGTTAGAAAAAATTAAGAATTTTGTTTAAGGCTCCATTCCATATGATACATAGCCAGTTTCCAATGTAGAAACAGTTATCCTAGAAAGAATATATATTTGTATTAGGTACAGCATGGTTTTTAGCATTCTTGGTATCTTCACAAGGAACACATATTAAGTTAAATGAAAACCACTGGTATGCAAAATACTATAACCAGCACCATGATTTTAACTTCCTCTATTTTTCCCTTTGAATACGTAGAACCTTCCGAAAAAAGACAAGCAGTAGTCACTTACGTTATTATAGCAGATTCCAAAAGCTGGCTCTATGAAAGTTAGGACTTGTCTTAAGGCAGAGAACTGTTACACTGTTTTTACTAGGTTAGTAAATGCCAGTTTTCCCTCTCCCATTATTATGTATTTCTCCCTCTATTATAATAGAGGGTGGTATTTGAGAGGATATGAGTGTCCCTCATCAAAGGAGTCAAAGAACTGTATGAGATCAGCAGTTTACACAGTATATACCTTTTTCATACATTATTTGTATAGTAGTCAAAATTAAACTATGAGGAATTTAACATCCTTAGACAGTTCTCCTAAACAGGTAAATTATGGACAATTTACTATGCTAGTTAAATCTGTTTTGTGTTTTAAAATTCAAAGGATGGATGATACAAAGCCATCTCTTCTTGATCAAGCATTTCTTTAGTGAATACTTAAGTAGAATTTTGTTTGCTGGTAAAGGATGACAAAGTTCATGTAAGTTCATTTAAAACTTGAAACTAATCGGGTTTGAGTAATAAGTGCAGCTCTGTTAATGTATCATTCTAATTTTCACTAAGAAATGAAAAGTGTAATACAACGTATATTACTGCTAAATATAATCTGCTTACTTCTTCTCCAAAGCACAGAATTTGTGTGCTGTGCCAAATTATTTGTCAAGTAATTTGATGATGAAAAATGTGTTAAAAATAGTGTCATTATTGGTTATACTTAATCCTTCTCAGAGGGAGAAGACAAAGAACTTTTTATTTTTCCAAAGTTATAAACTAGCATTTTATATTTCAGCAATAAAATGCCTGCTTGAGAGGCCATTTTCATTTCACTTGATATATGAATGCCTTTTTCTTTAGTTTTATACACCCAAATTTTAAATATTTCCCACTACTTTTTTAAATACTATCGCAAATAGTGCTAAGATTTTAAAACAATTTTGATTAACCCAAGGACCTTTCAATCATGTTCTAAAGTGTACAAATTAGATATTTCTGTGTTTTTAGGGAAACTATTCCATATTTTCAAACAGTTGTAAATGATAATCCATAATTGTATCATGTATAATGCTTTAATGATATGGGTTCAGTTTGTATGATGTTAGCTATAAGTAAATGTACATACATAGCATGGTAGTTTCCTATGGCTCTTGGCTCCTACAAAAATGACAAGTAGGAATACTCTGGGAGTAAGTCCTTCTGATGTTTACTGTGGTCCAACTGAGGTAGTAGTCACTAAAGAAAATGGAAGCTCCTTACAAACTGATATTGTAAAAAATGTAACTTTGTAAACACACTTAAACAGATCCCAGTTTCAGAAGCTGTACAGGACAATTTGGTAAAACTTACATAATTGTGATTTATTAACATGAATTAAAATGCCCAACCAGTGCTTCAATGTGATAGTATATTTAAAATAAAAAAGAAATTAAAGGCAATATACTGTTCTACTTTCACAAAGTTCACACAGTTTTGCAAAGACTTGTCAAATATGTACAATGCTATATATCAAATGAGAAAAGCTGTAAGCAATTATATACGCGAAAGAAATTCAGTATTTACACTTTGTCAGGAGACATTAAAAATCATCTATACATTAAATTACATCTTGCTTGCAAATAACCGGTAAAACAAAATGAGCCATGTTCACACCAAACTATAAAAATCTGTATTGCATTTTTTATACCTACAATGCACTCAAGAACTGCTGACGGGGGGGGAGGGGAAAGAAAATTCTCATAGTGCCATTACCTAGCTGTGTACTTAATGCATATGTATAAAATAATATAGAAAACATTCACTAAATGAATTTAACTGCAACAATAAAATTTAAAGATCATGTAGCATTGAACCTATTGCAAGAAAAAACAGCTGGAATGTTCACTTACAAATTAAAGATACCTAATACTGGCTTAACAGCACATTTTTTAAAGGAATTTTAAAAAGCAGAAATGGGGAAAATACAATGAAAGAGCACTGGTGCTTTTTTTTTTTTATACAAAGTTTCATGTACAAGCTTTAAAAAGTACCTTAACAGGTACATATGAAATATACAATTTATCTTACAGAACATTAAAAAAAATGCTTTTGGAGTCCATTTTAATGCCACCCTGAACCATGGTAATTGTTCTGAAATGTTGGTGGCACCTGTGCTCTGTGAATTGGAATCTGTCCAGGCACTGGAGATGCCTGCTGAGGTCCTTGAACCCCATGTGGCAGGGCCACAGAGCCAGGATGAGGACAGAACCCTGAAGCAGTAGGTGTTGGAATACTGTTTGGTCCTTGGGGCTGGAGATGAGGACCTGAAACTGGTAATGGACAATGTGGCCCTGCTGTCCCAGAAGGCTGGTGTTGGGGTCCCGGTCCCAGAGTGGTATGATGTGTAGCTTGTGAGGGATATGGTGGTACAGGTGGATGAGTGCTTGAAGGAAAGAGTGGCGGTCCTTGGTGAGGAGGATGGTGTATGGCTTGAGCTGATGTGGTATGGTGCCCAGGAGCCAAAACACTGGAAGGTGGCGGAGGAGGTGGGGGTGGGGGTGCTGAATTGACAACATGCTGGTGTTGTGCTTGTAGACCTTGGAGTCCCGTGGAAGGATGGGGAGGTGGATGGTGATGAGGGGCCGGACCAGGAGGTGGAGGGGGTGGTGGCAAATGGTGTCCTGTAGTTTGAGTGTGAATATGCGACCCAGGGGTGACAGCATGAACAGGCCCTACCACGTGTGCTACAGAGTGTTGCTGATGGGTACTTGGCTGTTGTACAAGGTGTGGTCCTGGCGCAGGTGGTGGTGGAGGAGGGGGTGGGACTACAGCAGCAGAAGTTGGATGGTGAATAGTAGGGTTCTGAGATGGCAAAAAATGCCCTGGAGTAACATGGTGTCCCGGAACTGTCTGTTGGCTTGTGGTGCCAGGAAGTGCTTGATTTGGTCCTGATGTAAACACAGTTTGTTGAGGAAGACTACCTTTAAGCTGATTATAATTCTGGAAGTTTGCAGAGGGCTGCTGGTTTTGATAATAAGAGGAAGAAGGAGGTGGAGGGGGTGGAGGGGGGGGAGCCGTGCTGTTCAGGCTCTGTTGGTTAAACTGACTATATGTTGCTGAAGATTGTCCTGAGGGTGTTTGTGTAAATAATGCTCCGGAAGTTGCTTGTTGAGTATTGCCTTGAACATTCTGTGCTGCTGGATAGTAATTTCTCTGAGATTCTCTCTGAGGTGTTCCCACTTGAGGTGACTGTGAATGATGAGGCCTGTAGGGAGATCCTAACTGCTGTGAAGGAGGCTTTGGTGAAAGGTAACCATGTTGTACAGGCGTGTGAGGCGTTGATGACTTTGGAGGATTTTCTACTTGAGGTGATGGAGGACAGTGCAGCTTGATTGGTGCAGAAGGCAGCTTTTGTGAGTGTTGCTCAGACGAACTGCGAACAAATGGCTGAGGAGGAGGATTTTTTGAAAGTGCTTGGGTGTTATTTAATAGCTGTTTTTGTTGGAGCTCTGTTTTGAGGTGAACACCGCTCTCAGCTTCTGATGCTTCCCAAAGGGAATCTGGTTTTGTGAGTATTTTTCCATGTTGTTGAGAAGAAAGTGGTCCTGGTGAACCAGGCTATGGAAAAAAAAATATTTTAGGTACACTGAAATTATCTTTTTAACAACTACCCAAATACATTAAGAAGTAAAATCTATCTGCTCATTCAAATGGCTCTTGGAATAAACATAAACTGGATTCCATCAATGTTTATTTCGGGACGAAAGTATTTAGCTTCCCCTTCTCTTTAGCCCCCGCACCGTTGCACACACACACTCTTTCAAGTGAAGCCTATTTTATGAGCTTTATTCTGGAGGCACTGTTGGGGCCACACCCAGCAGTGCTCAGGAATGATTCCTGGTAGAGCTTGCTAGGAATTTGGTACAGGGTCCAAAGGCAAGCACCCGTCTGGCACTAAAAGAACTCAAGAATTTAATTTGGGTGAATAAACTTGCTCCTCAGGTGGTTTTCATTTCTAATTCCTTATCCAAGTACACAGACTTTAAATTCTTTAATCCCCCCCCCCCCCATACACCCCCCATACACCATCTCTTTTTTTTTTTTTCTGTTTGGTTCATACCCAGAGACGCTCAGAGGTTACTCCTGGCTCTGCACTCAGAAATTATCCATAGCGGTGCTTGGGGGACCATATGGGATGTCAGGGG